GGTCGGGGTAGAAGAAGGATGCACTGCGGCATCCTGGGAGCTGAGAGAGTTGAGAGCAGGAGTGCCACGTCGAGGTGGCATATTGTAAACAATTAAAAACGAGCGATGAAGGTCTTGAGGGACTGAATTGTGTTACAATTTTGTCGATGACAACAGTATACACCTATGTTGACGTAAGCATGTTATTACCAAATAGAAGAGTACTCACATTCCCTGTAGAGCCCTAACACGCTAAACTCCTCACGTAGCTCATCGCCGGTACGCTTTCGGTCGACCATGAAAAATCTCGGTCGTGATCTATGACATGTTCTACCGAATACAGGAGAAAACAATGAAGTGCTCCAGAAGGATGCGAGTCATTACTTCACAGAAGCGATCGTCCTTCACTTCCACAAAGAGGTGGAGAAGCAAAGAGCTGAACCAGTGGGTATGGGCGTCGGGATATCGTAGGTGGAGAACCATAGAGCTCAAGAGGTGGTGTTGTCCTAAATAACGCGTCAATCTATGTCATATGAACTAGTAGATTCGTTGGACTCGCCTTCAACATCTAAATTAGCAGCAAGATACTATAAAGCAACAACGCCAGGGTCGCTCGCGACAAATACAGATGAGCCACTCCTCGCCTTGGCCTGAGCAACTGACGATACTCCAATGTACATGACAAGGGAGTTTATCAATGACAGGTTGTACGATTCGGTTGAACTCTCTGGCACGCCGGGCAGCCTCGAGCGATCTTTGAGTGTTGTAAGGAATGAAGGGGTTCCACGATTAAGGAGGTATTGATCAAGGTTGTTGCGGAGGTCAGCGCTTTTGAGACCTGAAGCAAAGTCTGATAGAATGGGTGGTATCGGTCCCATTTCGGGAATCGAGTCAAATTTGATGTTGCGTAGATGGGGGTCAGGAAGGATGATAGACATAGGGAACGCGCTGAGGATGATATTGCGAAGCTGGATGCAATGCGGAGGGACGGCATCGCAGAGACCGAAGTAGTATTCGCTGAGGAATTCTGGGAAATCATGAAGAAGGACGAGGAGGAGTCGGAGGGAGCCGCGATACAGATCATGAGATGCGAGTTGGAGATCAGCCTCTTTCAAGAACGGAGCCAAAAACTTAAAGAGGGAAAGAAGGAGCTTGTGGAACGCAGACCAGCCCTAACGGAATCGAGTCAAAAAAGGTCCTCTAATATTGAATTATAATCTCACCTCCCGGTTTTCGGATAGCAGCAGTTTTGGCATGAAGAGTCGATGTGAAACAAGACAGAGCCAAGAGAATGCGAACCCAGGAAAGTAAGTGGGTTGCAGAGAACTGAAAGTGTCACTGCGATACTGTGAGCGATGATAAAAATAACAACTGGAGAATGGTTTACCTGATGGCGATCAGCAGAGAGAAATAAGCTGAGCCTAGATGTTCTGCGATGGAGTGCAGGTCGCTAATGAGACTGGAGAAGAATCCGAAGAACGGCTTCTGTGGAAATCAAGATAGTCTCCGCAGCAACGGTATTGACATTCAAAAAGTATAAATGTACGTTAGCAGAAAGATCGGAGTGATGTATGGACTACACCTTTGGACAGCATTATAGAGGCATGAAATGAAAAGACGGTATGTGAAGGTATTAACAGGGTTGACAATTCAAATTCAAACTTTACATGTTGGCTTGTGCGGACTGTGTCGATCACGGCGTGCTCCCATGGAGGTCGCGATTGTGAGTAGAAAGTAACTGAGTCGTTGAGTTATATTTTGGTTTCAGCTTGATAAATAACGAGGTTGATAACGGGAAAATACATGTAAGAGCAGTAGCTTGATTTGGTGAACAAATTGCTCTTGAACGAAGATTAGCATACACTGTGACATGCGGAAAAAAAACATACGAGGGGTACAGACACAACAGTTGCCCCATCACCGGTCACCTGCAAGCTCTCGATCTAAAATAAGAAGCGATGCAGAAGGTGGTCGAGATGCAGCACAAGCGACGAACTAGAAGCTGGAAGCCTGTAATGGTAAAGACAAGGAAACAAGGGAGCACGACCCCAATGAGGTTGCGGCTGACCCGGACCGGCGACAACCGTGAAACTTTTCGCAAAAACTCTTCTACTACTACTAGGTACGGGAATCATGACTCTGCACTATGATAGTATGATTCATATGAATCACTGAGTCCTGAAGCTTGAAGGCTTGAAGACCACGGAAGTGCCCATGCACGTATGGCATATGCATGATGTTGTCTTGCTGCTCGTTCAACTGTCTCTCCCGTTCACAGACTGGGCTACCCAGAAACCGGCTGCTAGTGCAACTTCTACGGAACATATTGTCGACAATCAGAATTTGATTCTAGTGGGGAATCCAGACACACCGGTGTCTTGGCCGCACTTGCCACAGTATACCAGCAACGACATCATTGCATCGCCAGGCGTTCAACCAAGCTTCTGAAGGAGCGCATATTCATACATGCAAACCCAGTCAGCAACGTCTATACGTTATGCGAGTGATGTTTGCTATAAGGAATGCTTAATTCATTGGGCGCCAATGCACGACTGTCATTGTCTGACCCCGTATACTAGCCCAGAAGTAAATTATCATTAGATTCAAACCACCATCCCTAGCCTGAAATATATGTAGTTACCATTAACTCAACTATCAACCAGATTGCTTCTGCGGTCCAGAAGTCCCGCAGCTCCGCTCTAGTTCTTCGTTCCTAAGACGCGCTGTGGCAGCTTCCAGCGCCCTTATCCGATGTTCTTCCGTGGTATCGTTACCTCGAAGGTCTGTGCCTCCTAGAACATGAACAAGTGCCTTGGAGCTGCTTCGTAAGAACACAATACTGAACTTCGCTTGCAAGCTGAATCATGGAATCGACTTCGGCTCGTGTCTTCTTGCCTTTTTCAACTAGAGCCTGGAGCTCCGCATCCATGGTATATTCTCCACGCAGAAAAGCGTTCACGAGATTTTCTTTGATCAGAAAACGCGCCTTGACGGACTTTTCACCTGTCCAGTCTTCCCTGTGGGTCTGACGCTCCACGAAAATCTGAGGGATGATGTTCAGTGAGCTCCACAAATAAAGTCAAGCACACTGGCCGTTTTCACGTCTGTATCACCGTACCACCGGAGACGGATAGCTTCAGCACCCTCTGTCTTCTCCAGTCGACCGAGGTGAAGTTCAAGATCTTCATTGTCGAAGTATGTCAAAGTAATGGCTGCAAAAAGCGTCGACAATACATCCTGTGATGATTCGGAATCAAAAACGTACCAGCATCCTTCTGTTCGAATTCCTTTTCGGCATTGAAGACTATAAAGAGAGATAAATCGAAACAAGTACCAAAATGCACTCCCACTAACCGAGAACGGGTAGATGTCGTAAAATAGCCAGTTTTAGTGGAACCAGGTTATCTGGATGCACCTAAAATTGACTAGTTAGTAAACATAAACGTGATAAGAAAAATATTTATTACCCAATACTTTGTCGTCTGACGTACAAAGGCGCTTTGGTTCCTGCCTGCGCTTGAATCGCCCTGTACAGGATATCCTCGAGTGCGGACCAGGTCATAGAGCTTGGATAACTTGACGATCAAGATGTCCCAATTGTATTTATAGAAGGGCTCAAGATAGTGTTGAATAAACGTAGGTTTCAGCAGAAAATTTGTGATTTTAGATCAAGGATGACACATCAGGAAATTCAGAAAACGCACATCGTGTTTCTATGGCGATGACTGGTGAATTGGTATAAGGCGAGAGGCATGAATGGACGTACCTTTGAAATTTTAAGAAAACCAGTGATATCTAACTTAGTGTACAATGCCAAATCGTGAACATCTGCTACGAGGATAGCGGCTTCTTCTTGAAGGCTGTGAAAGAGGTCTTCGAGTGAGGTATCAGATTGGTTATCGACAATCATCATCATCATCGGAGCCCTTGTCGGGTCCATAGTCCGAAGGGCGTGCTCGATGCGATCCTGGGTCAGAGGAATGGGCGTGGAGCGCCTCGGATGAAGATGGAGAAGATTCTTGAGCGACGAGTTTTTGAACGTCCTTTTCAGCATCCCGTATACGGCGAGATAACTCGGCGGTCTGGACAGCGTCAGCTGAAGCAGAGGAATGAACTGAACTTTGATTATTTACCTTTTGTTTCTGCAAATCATAAAACTTTATCGAGCTCCTGTTTCAGCATGGCGGTGAAATCACGTTCATCTTTGTCGTCCCAGCTGTGAGAGGTGGTGCGAGACTACCCAGATAGAGTGGATGAGTGTGGCTCGAGCAGTTTGGAGAAGGATTTACCTTGAGTTCACGTTTCAACAAATTGTAGTCGATGTAGAAGGGTCTCCATTCATCATAAAGGTTAGTCTGTCAGAACAAGAACATCTAGTTCGCTTCACCTAATTTACCATACGCAAAAATGACGCACCGTGATCTTCCTTCCAAACTTCACAATGTGCCTGTCAACGACTAGCTGGGAATAAGTGGAAATCCTTTAGAAAAGAGCGTTCTACAAGTCTGCGGCGGTAGCTCACCAACACGGAACAAGGAGAAGAAGTTTGGGCGTTAACGCGTTAATTTCTACAATATAGATAGAAGAGGGTAATTGAATTTCTAGAAAGAAAGGAACGTGGCGGGACAACAGCCCGTCTAAAAAAGGAGCGTTTGATGTATGTAAGTACTCGTGTCTAAACACTGCGTGTTGTCCAAAAATTCCGATGGCTTAGAGATGGCTGAGAATCTGGGGGTACCTAAGGTTTCAGCCACGTCGAAGCCATCAAATATCAGCCGACTTCTATGGTATCGGAAATCTGACTCTTTAAATTACCACCGGCGTCGACGATAGCTCGAACTTAGAGGTACCCTCACCTACGTCTTAACTACCTTACAGTGACTTCTACCTGAGGTGTGTTTTGCGTGTTGTACATCTACAATATATCAGTACGAAACGTTTGACATTACCTCACCTTTTCTTGGAGGTATGCAGTCGTTGTGCCAGTAAGTATTCAGACCAAGGTGCGCAGCGGAGCTTCAATTCATCTTGCCTTGAACCCTTTAACAACGATCTTGACGATGTCGAGCAGCGACCACACACTCCTAACTCTAAATCAAGCATCCACCACTTAGCTAGCATGTCACGGTGTAGCCTATCTCAAGTTGAATAACACTCCAATGAACTCAAGATCAAGCAGGTCGATAATTCTCCGTCTCTCAATGACAAGGCGGAATGTTGTGTACTTTCCTTTTCAACATGTCTGCCTGCCGGGTCAAAGGTAATATTGTTCATTGGCTTCTCCGGAGAACTGACCAGTGGCCAGAGCTATAATGGGGTACTACAGGAGCTAATTTGAGCACGACGGAACCAAGAAGTATTATGCATTGACTCAATTCTAAGTATGTATTCGATCCCACTAGTTGTGCATGCACTTATGACATATTGCTAGCCCATGGCCGTGAAACGTGCCTTCCGTTGGGATGAACCCCCTCTCAAGACTCAAGGTGACATTTGCAGTCACTATGATATCACACGCTGACATTGAGCTGAGTAGGAAAACCCGTCTCTTGCACATCTACTGTAGGTACCCGTCGTCATAGAATCCGAGTACAAGCTGAATTAATTTGGACAGCTACTCCCGACGTAATTCATCTCGCCGCTTCACTTAATGTTGTCGAGCGCCCTCACGTTCTGCAGTATATATAGCTGTAGCTAGCTAGCAGCATGTATTCGCTGGAATATCTAATAAATTTCGCAATTTCTCAGATTTAAATAATTGAATGTCTGCAGCTGGATATATATATATTGAATATAATATGATTATTGTGGTTTATTCAATGTATATGCAGTATCGTTCTGGACCCATAGTAGCAGCTGGCTGGAACTTGATGGCCAAACGGTGTCTTCGAGGTGGTTGAAATCCGGAAAATCAACCGTCTCGAAGCCGGTTTATACCATAGGTCCAGAAATGGCTAAAACTTGACCCTGGGGTCACATTCCAGCCAGGTATCTACCGTCGGAAATTTTTGATAACACGCAGTGAAAGCAGTTGGGGTAAGCGCATACAATATGTACTGGGATTGGGTGGTCGTATATAGGATTGGTCTAGTACGGATTGAGCGTACATCGTGGCGTGGCGTGGATGGGGTACAGGTCCCCTGGCGTAGCAGTAGCGTGGCAAAGGAAGTGTGGCAAAGAATGTATGCCGGGTAGAAGGGAGGGGGAGGGGGAGGATGTGATACTGATAGAAATATACAGATAGAAGATAGGTGATACGACAGGCGATATCGATAATAAGTTCTGAAGGAATACCATTTTTAAAGGAAGGAAGAATAGCAAGGATGGAACAAAACAAAAAACACAGGAAAAAAAAGAAGGAAAAACACGCAAGCGTGAAGACGGAGACAAGTAACAGTAAAAAACAGATCAAAGAAGGAAAAAAGCGCGGCACTTTCAAACACCAGGCATGAATTCCCGTCGTCGATCACCTCCCATACCCGCTCCCGCTCCTCGGCCGCCCCCAATTCGCAGCAAGTCCACCAACGCCAACACCCCCACCAGCACTCGTACCAGTGTTCTGACCAGTAACCCACGTAGGCGCCGAATCGCTCCTCGCCCTTTGATGTTGCTGCTGCTGCTTCTCACCACCACTCCCACCAACGTCCATATCCAATCCAAACTCAAACTCATATCCCCCTCAACATCATCTTCTCCCCCCATCGAAGCACCGCCAAGTCCAGAGACAGACCCTCCCACCATAGGAGAAACCATCGGAGATCCACCACCCATCGAAGACCCAACACTGCCCACACTAATGACACTCCCCGTCCTTCTCTGCCTCTTCTCCCTTCCTCCTCCCTCTCGCATGCCGTGTGCATCTACATCAGGAGTGGGCATCAGGGTGATACTAGGCTGGCACCCGTGTCCGTGTCGACCAAAGGCAGAGAACTCGCTGGAGGTGGGAGAGGGGGTTGATGTGTGCAGGGCGTACTGGGGAATGCTGAGCATTGGGACTGATGGATGATGGCTGTGGCCATGACCCTGAGACGAGTGCGAATGGGAGGGGGAGTGTGCATGTGAGGGGGATGGAGAGGGGGCTGAGGTGATGTAGATGTTGGGGCTGTGATCGCTTGGAATCGGGCTTGGAGGGACTGGAGAGGGGGAGGGGCTTGGGGCATTCAGGGCGTTGAGTTCTTGGATTAGCGTTGGTGATACTGCGTGTAGGGTTAGTGACGAGTTGATATTTAAAGGGAGAAACGCACCAGATCTGATCGTATCGCATAGGGTCCTTACGATCCTGGTCAATTTCTCCACTTTCCGTCGTTCACGGCGCATCTCGGCACCTGCCCAATTCATCCAAGCTTCGCCTCCTCCACCCATCCCCATACTGAAACCAGGCGCCATGACATTGAACGAAAACCCCTCCTCACTGCCATCTTCATCATCATCATCATCTCCCCCGATATGTAATTTCGGGGGGGGGGGGGGGGGGAGGTACTAGCAGATTGGGAGAGGGTGTTGGCTATATGAGAAGGGACGCGTCCGCCTAGACGTGAGATCTCGCGCCAGAGGGCCTTGTTCTCATCTCGCATGTCATTTAGAAGACGAGCAACTTCGCCGGGGAGTTCAACGCTAGGGGTTAGATTAACTTTAGTTGTGTGGTGGAGATTGAGCGGAGCTTACCGGCCACGTTCGCGAGGATCAGGCTCAAGAGCCTTGCGTTTGATGGCGTCCAAGAGGTCTGGGCGTGCACGGAGGAATTTGGGATGGCTGAATTCCCAAGTTTGAGATGTTGTAGATGTGCGTTGGGCGCGTGGTGTCTGTTTTATGAAATGTTAGATGATGAAATGAGTGGAGATAGGTACGGACTCCGTTGATTTTGTGAAAGCCATACATGTTGAGTTGGCGCACAAAGCTTGAGAACTGTGGAGATGTGAGTTGTTTAAATAGTGGTGAAAAGAAGACTGACGTTGTTGTGTTTGAAATGAGAGCCAAGGATGCTCCTGCTGAATTCGCCTACGTTTGAAACGACGAAACTAGAAAGATGGAATGAGACAGAGAGTGAGAGCGATGAATAGGACTGACCTTGTTCCGAGTTCAGTCCATGACTAGCCGGTGTGAGCGGACCTTGTGAGGAAGGTTCGCTTATTGGAGGGGGTGACGAAGCTGTTGTTGTTATGATTGGATGCGGGAGTACGTGCCCTCCATAAGAATGAGAGTGTCCATGACTGTGATTAGTGGGTGGCGGAGGAGCGGTGTTTGTGAGACTTCGTTTACGCGGTACGCTCTTTTCTACTGCCAATTCGCTTGATGAAGTAGAGTGGAATCCGGTGCTCGGACTGACGCTGTGCTAGTAAGAGAGATGAGTCGTCTGTCGGTTCAAAATTGAATTGAAAGGTGGGAGGTTGTGGACTAAGATGAGCTGGACTGAAATTTGGAGGAGATACAGGAGTTATAGGAGATACACCATGATGACGTTTGCAAATCATAGTAGACTTGTCGTCGGGAACACTTCTGGAATATATCGGGAATTGCCGACTGGGTTTAAATCATAGTCATTCTGTATATCAACTCTTCCCGACCTCCAGATTAACTTCTTTCCGACCTCTAGAGTACCATATATACCATGTTCATAGCATACTACTATAATTTAATGTCACGGGGATTACGCGTATTTTCACACTTTATATACTTCGAAACATTGTCAAAACATAATATTTAGTAGCAACGTTTCGAGTCGCGATCTCAGCATTTGTTTAGTAAGCTAAATTAGTCGTTCAATACAAGTACAGAGGATATGCAATTCCGCGCTTCTTGTCCGCTACTATCTCGACTTCCTATTCATAGATAGGATAATGGAGAACACAGATAATCGAGGTGCTAGGGACATAACATGTAAGTTTATAGGTTCGTTATGTTCTGCAGAAATTAAAGGTGTCGACTAGACGGAATGTCCAAAAGCGCAGCCTGTAGCGATGATGACCATGCCCCGAGTCGCATGTCGACTAATGATCGTGAGTTTTGATCAGATGTCGAATATATTGTCACTCATGAGCCTGTGTGTCTGATAGGAAATTGTCGGGCAGCGCCATCGCCGTTGGCAGATGAAGGCGCATGGCGAATTCTTGAACAGTTCCTCACTACCGACATGACGTACCCTCAGATGGAAAATGCATTTTCTGCGTACCTCGGCGGTCGATACATCGCGGACGACTGGAAGGATGCTAGAGACGCGTTATTCTCTGGTGATGGCAATGACAGCATCGCCTTAGCAAACCTTTATGCATTAAAGGCCAAGCACATACCCCTACCGTCGTCTTCATCAAGGGTAAACAGCCGCCTCTCAAGCACTCCCATTCAACAACCGCGTAAACGTCCCCAAGTAAGTGTGTCATCATCTCTGACGACTGTTACTAAATAACAAATATAGTCGAGGACGGACTCAAGCACTCGTGTTCAACAACCGCGTAAACGTCTCAAAGTAAGTGAGTTATTATTCTGACGAATTTTATACTAAACAAATACAGCGGAATCCGTACATCATTACCGAAGCAGATGAAAGTGAAAGAGAAGAGGTAGATGTCGAAGATGAGGTCGAGGTCGAAGATGCCCCTTCTGTGCGATTGCCGAAGGTTGCACACTTTTCTGGACCATCAGCTAAGGATAGGTTGGCTTCAGCATTCGATAACATTTTCGATAGGATCGGAGAGAGGCGATCCTTCTCATTAGAGACTCACTCTTGCAAGGCCGCTTCATTCTCCCGTGCAATCGAAGGCAGAATGTACCTCCTCCATGTTCAGAGTATGTTCATTCTTAATGATGTGCGACCTTACTTATTGTATGCCAGGAAATGGCGCAGATTACATCGCTGAACACCTTAGGAGTCAAGGATTTCCCGTTACGGTGTCGGCTTGGGCAGCAGGCCAGTTGTATGTTGTTGCAGATAGCCCTAAAGCTATCTCAACGTCGCTTCCAGCCTCACATAGTTTTGCCGTTAAACAATACATTCGGATTTCAGACGAGGAGCGTCAGGCAGTCGAACATTTAAGGTCCAAACTTCCCGACCCAGGGTGGGTGAGGATCAAATATGGAAAGTATAAGGGCGACATGGGATACGTCTTTGATTCTGATCAATCCAATGGTTTTGTTACCGTCTTGATCGCTCTCCGGGACTTTCCCTATCCCATGCCTGGTCATTCTGTGGCCCTACTAGACCGATCCCGCCTCCCTAATAATGATCAAGCCGTTCGCGACATTATCCGCGATGGAAAAGTCGCGGGATGCTCTTATAAAGGCGAACTATACTATATGGGACTCTTAGCGAAACAATTTCACCGTGATCGCCTAGAAATCGTTGCATCTCCTCATGCTGATGACATCCGACTGCATATGCAGTCTGGGTGGGACACACCCTTCGTCAAGAAAACGCTGTTAGCGTTTTCGATGCAATTCTTGCGCGCAGGCGACCCTGTCAAGATCATTGCAGGAGGAATTTGCTCAGAGGCCAGTACAGTCGTCTCGACGGATCACGCTATTGGCTCCGCGCGCTTGGAAATAACCCTCGATGGACATCGAAGAGAAATTGACGTTCGGCTTGAAGATATAGAGCGTGTCTTTCGTGTCGGTGACGAAGTTCGAGTTGTTGCAGGTCCATACTTGGGTCTAGAGGGGCACATTATTCAGATATGTGATGATGAGTTCCACGTCTGTCAAGCAGTCTCCAAAGAAGAGGTTAACTTCATCTGCGAATCAAAATAACTAGCTAACATTCATTATATAGGTACTCGTTTCGAGGTACTACTTAGATCGTTGCCCATTGCATCACACATTTCAAGCGTCGCTACCCACACGGCAACACTTCGAGCCTTGCCCTGAGTCCGATTCCATAGAAGTCGGGGATCACATAGAAGTGCTTGCAGGCGAGCACTGGAGGAAATGCGGCGTCGTGGAGTGGTTTTCTATGGGGGGCACCATGCTGTGGTTCCGGGATATGAACTTCACCTTGGCTGGGGATGATGTGAAATCTAGTGTCGTACCGTCAAGAATTCAAGTTCCTGCGACAGTTGTTCGGCGGACCAAGCTCCCCGATACCCTCAAGTACACACAGGAAAGGGGCTATGATGTGAGGCCCGGAGATGTCGTGAGTGTCGTCCGTGGGTCGGAGTATCAGAGGAAAGGGGTCGTGCGAAGCGTTGACTTTCCAAACGCTCGCTTGACCCTTCTATCTGATAGTGATTACTCCCTCGTGAGCATCGATTAATTCGGCTCAAGCATGTCTGACACTGCTAAAGATTGACGTCCCAATCGGATTCGTGATCAAGGTATGCAACGTGAGCTTGGATTCCTTTAATAAGGTCATTGGCCAAGAAGTTTTCATTGTTGGGGGCGAACGGAAGGGATACCGAGCTACGCTATACGGCGTCGGTTCAGAGACTTGCAGAGTTGCTGTACATGGGCAGCCGCGTATTACACTCAGTCGCCAGGACGTTGTGACTAGGTGAGAGCGCCGCGCGTATACTTTCACGGTGATTAAGTTGTTAATGACTGTTAGCTATGGAATGAGATTGAATGGTGCGATGCTGGAGGGACCGGACCTGGTTTCTTTCTGTAACATCCGGAGAAGATCCTATACGATAATAAAGCAACATCGAAGCATTGCCCCCCCACCTATCCAACTTCCAGCCAGTTCTTCGACCAGCGCAGATAGTAGCTTGCCGTCTTGGACTTCCTGGACCGACAACCAGGAGGGTACTGCATGTCACGAATCATCGAACATCACACTCAGCTCATCGACATTTGACCCCTGGATTGTCAATCCCCAGGACACCCAGGATAATATTGATGCTAGAGCGGAGAAACTCCGAGAAAATGGTGGGTTTTCTTTGGAGGAATCAGATGTTTTGCTGATTGTATGACAGGCCCTCTACCTTGGTTAATGGGCAAGGAGTATTCTTCGACGTTTCTCCTGCATCACGCCGTGTTGAAAGTCTCAGCGGGCTTCATGGGAGGCAGGTTACACAAACGGTTTGTGTCAATGGCTTGTCCCGACCCCTTTTGCGGTGCGAATGGACCTGCACCCGAGGATTGCGTCGCTGTATTCTGCACATCCAGTAATGCAGGTGCCGCGCTTCAACATTATCATATCCCCGCCAGGGATCTATCTCCAGCTCCTCCACGTAAAAAAAACCAACTCGTCTTTGTTTTAGAAGGTGATTCTTGTGGTCGTATCTTTTCTGTCATGAAGTGTAATGTGAAGAAGAACACTGTTGAGGTTGCCATCTCACTTACGACTAATATCACTCTACGTTTCGATCAGATATGTCTTGTGGAAAAGGCACAAACATGATAAGATAGAGTACATATTATACTTACTCGAGCAGTCATGAATCTATTTTTCCAGCGTACAATACATTCTCGCACAGGTGCCTGGCACTCTTTCCGAGTCTTCCTGGTATGCCCTCCCCGTGCCGAACTTCTCACATGCTTTCCCAGGCCAAGAACTCCGGAGAGAACCCAGGAGAAGAAGCACCTTGGGGTATCTGAGCGAGGTCAGGTACCAGGATGTCACTGGGCATATGGCGTTCAAGGTTGTCGGCACGATAATACTCTTCCAGCCATCTATACCTGTACATGATCACCTTATCCGAGAGGTCTGCGATACTCTTTTCTGCCTTTGTTAGCTGTTCCTTGACTCGATGTAACTCGGATCCTTCATGTATAAATTGTTCGCTATTGCCTAAGTGAGCCTTTCGTTAGACGCTGCGCAGATCTAAATTTCAAAACCTCACTCATAGTCTGCGTTCCTCTATGAATAAATCCGTTATTTTGATGGGATTCCCTGCACGCGGTGGGTCTTGTTGCAATTTTTTCTGTAACTGCATTACTCACTTGAAGTCAGTGCCAACATCAGAGCTACTCGGTATGTGCACCGGGGAAATTTGGAAGCTTTAGGTGAACCTTCCATGAGTTTTGTACCTGTCATATCCCATATATTCACGCTTCTCTTCCGGACTTCGGACCCTGAGATCCGGTCCGGTCCGATGTATAGATCCGCTTCCGATCCGATTTACGATAAGCTTTCTAATTCATTTCCTGTTTCATATAACGTTAAACACAGCCTATTCGGTATTTCCTCTTCCCGGTGTTTCGGTTATGCTTATTACCGGTATGATTACTGATCCGTTAACCTATGTCTCATTTCCGACTCGCGTTTGATAACCTTTGCACATGCTTCGTACATAGCCTCGGACCCTTGCTTACTGATACTTCCGTTATCCTCATAGTATATAAACTCGTGTATATGTCCTGTAGTACCTCAGTTCGAATATCATCTTAGTTTGTCCTCTTTCTGTCCTCCGGACTTGAGTTCTCCTTACTCTTGTCACTCTCCGAGACTTCGGATAGATTCCGATAGTCTATATCCTCGGCTCTACCTTCGGGTAGTCTTTACTCTGTTAGTTTCTAGTTCGGATACGTCCGGATTAGCCTTATACGCGTTTCCGATATCCGGAAGACTTCCGGATATACTACGAGACCCGTCCGGACCTTCGGACGCGTTATCGTTAGTACTTTGAAATAAGGGACAGTACTTGGGAAAGGGGCACAGCGTACGAGCTGAGGCCGAAGTCCTTCGGATCCGATCTTACGAGAGTACGACCTTAACAGTATATTCGAACTCACACCTTTCCAAGTACACTTACTCATATCATGGCTCCTACTAAAGTAAACCAAGCCGCTTTGCACGCTGTCGGACTTTCGTCCACCCGACGCGATCCGACATCCGTAGTTAACGCCTTCACCAGTTTCTCTCAGCGCCGTGTATCACGCGGTCCTGCTCAAAGTATTTCGCAACTCATGAATCGTCCGCATCCGGAAACCCCTACGCGCACTCCTGCTGGAGGTGATCCGGATGACGAAGGACCTCCGGACGATGAAGATACTCCTGGTGGAAACCCTCCGGATGACTTCGGAGGTGATCCGGATGATGAACCGGATGACAACGATGATGAATTTGACGGGTTAAACCCACAAGACCGTGTCATGCTTCGGCTTTCTCAAGCCATCGACAATCTCGCACGCAACAATCGTCGTCCGACCTCGTCCGAAGATTCTAAAGTCAAGATCCGTGAGCCCGATACTTTCGATGGCACTGAGCCTCGGAAGCTTCGTGCATTCTTCGTCCAATGCGAGCTCCACTTCCAAAGCAAACCCAAAGCCTTCCGTTCCGGACGGGCAAAAGTCAACTTCGCCCAATCCTACCTTAAGGGTATGGCACTCGAGTGGTTCGAACCGGATCTCCTAGCCGACGAGGACGATGATCGTCCGGATTGGATGGATGATTACTCCGCGTTCATGCTTGAACTCCAAACCAATTTCGGACCGCACGATCCGTCCGGAGATGCGGAAATGCAATTGGAGCAACTTCATATGCGTGACGGACAACGCATTAATAAATATGTTGTTGAATTTCAGCGTCTTGCTTCACAAGTCCGTGGCTGGGGTGACGGTGCCCTAAGACGCCAATTCTATAACGGACTTCCGGCTCGTATCAAAGACGAAATCAGTCGCATGGGTAAACCTTCCACCCTTTCCGAATACAAGATCCTTGCCCAGACTATCGACGCTCGATACTGGGAACGGAAGGGAGAAGTCGCCCGCGAAACTAAACCCACCACCTCCATTCCTCCTAAGCAAACCACGTCCGATCGGACGAATTCCAACTCGTCCGGACCTTCGAGGTACAAATCCGACAAACCCGCTACTTCCGCATCATCCTCCGTTTCTAAACCTCCGGACCTTACCTCCAAGTTAGGAAAGGACGGGAAGCTCACGTCCGAAGAACGTAAGAGACGGATGGATAACAAACTCTGTCTATTCTGCGGTGGACCCGGCCATTCGGCTCGGGAATGCACCAAGTCTACTTCGCGCGCTGCCAAAGGCCGCGCTGCAGTAGTAACTCCGGAAGACAAACCGGAGGCTTCGGATGAAGCAAAAAAATAGTCCGCAACCCTCCCGACTCCGCATGGGATGAGGGTTGCGTTGACTCTACCCGTGCAACGGAGCTACGTCTCAATGCTGTTTCTCTTTCCGATCCGAACTCTCTTTGTCCATACGTTTCTATTCCTACTTTTCCTGATATTTCTGATTTTCCTTCACTAATTGATTGTGGTTCCTCTCACTGTTTTATAGACTCTGATTTCGTCCGAAAAAATAAAATTCCTACATATCCGATATCTCCGCTTTCTCTCCGTTTGTTTGATGGTACTTGTAATAATATGATTTCCGAAGCTATAGATTTGCCTATCTGTTTTCCGTCCGGTGTAGTTACCTCCGATACGTTTTACGTTACTCCGTTGGATTCTTCTTGTTTTATCGTTCTTGGATATAGCTGGCTCACCCTACACAATCCGTTGATTGACTGGGTTTCGGGCAGCATCGATTTCCGAACGACTTCTCATGGAATGCCTTCGACACCTCCGACGTCGCTTCCGTCTCCGGATCCGCATCCTCCGATGGAAGATTTACCTCCTCCGACTACATCCGGAACCTCCGCTGATAAAACCATCCCCAACATTTCCTTGATCAATGCGGTTGCCTTTTGCCGGGCCTGCAAATTGGAAGGATCGGAACAGTTCAGCATCTACCTTCGTCCGACCGGTGTAGACCTCCGGTCCGCTTCCCTTTCATCCGATCCTCCGGACCTGTCCGGAATTCCTCCGGAATATCACGAATTCTCGGATGTGTTCGATAAGGGCAAAGCTAGCCAACTTCCTCCTCATCGTCCCTATGATCTCAAAATCGAGTTAGAGGAAGGAACTAGTCCGCCCCTCGGAACCATTTATTCTCTATCTGCAGTTGAGCTTGCAGCCCTCCGGAAGTTTCTTGATGAAAATATTTCCTCCGGACTCCTCCGTTCCTCATCCTCTTCTCACGGAGCTCCTGTCCTGTTTGTCAAGAAAAAGGATGGCTCCCTTCGCCTCTGTGTAGATTTCCGTGGACTTAACCAGATTACCAAGAAAGACCGATATCCGTTACCTCTCATTACCGACCTCCTAGACTCTCCGAGCCGCGCTAAAGTCTATACCAAAATCGACCTCCGATCCGCTTATCATCTCGTCCGGATAGCGGACGGAGACGAATGGAAGACCGCGTTCCGAACGCGTTATGGCTCATATGAATGGTTGGTAATGCCGGAAGGTCTCACTAACGCTCCGGCTGCATTCCAACGCTTTGTCAATAGCGTGTTTGCTGATATGCTGGATGTATGCGTTATCGTATATCTGGACGACATCCTCATCTATTCCCAAGACCTTGCATCCCATAAGGAACATGTCCGAGAAGTCCTTCTCCGTCTCCGAAAACATCGACTCTATGCTAAACCCGAAAAATGCGCGTTCCATACCACATCCGTTGAATACCTTGGTTACATCCTATCTCCGGACGGCTTGACCATGTCGTCCGAGAAGATCCAGTCCATCGTTGACTGGCCGGAACCTCGGAAAGTTAAGGATATTCAATCCTTCCTCGGATTCGCAAATTTCTATCGTCGATTCATTTTCAATTACTCGGACATCGTAGTTCCGCTCACCCGTCTTACCCGCAAGGGGGTTACTTGGGATTTTTCCGATGATTGTCGGAAGTCTTTTGAAACACTCAAGAAAGCTTTCACGTCCGCTCCGGTGCTTACGCACTGGATTCCGAATGTTCCGATAGTCGTAGAAACCGACGCCTCTGACTACGCTATAGCCGGAATACTTTCCATAGTATGTCCGGACTCAGAGCTTCGTCCGGTGGCATTTTATTCTCGGACGCTTACCGCTCCGGAACTCAACTACGACACTCACGATAAGGAACTTCTAGCCATCCATGAAGCTTTTCGGACGTGGCGACATTACCTTGAAGGCTCTGCCGAGCCGATAGACGTTGTCACGGACCATAAGAACCTTGAGTATTTCTCTACCACAAAACTCCTCTCTCGCCGTCAGGCCCGCTGGTCGGAATTCCTCCATCAGTTTAACCTAGTCATCCGTTTCCGTCCCGGAAAACTCGGAGCTAAACCGGATTCCCTTACTAGACGCTGGGACGTCTATCCCAAAGAGGGGGATAAGGACTACGCTCGAGTTAACCCTCACAATTTCCGTCCGGTATTCACTTCGGAACAGTTAGCTTCGTCCCTCCGAGCCTCAACTCTAGTAACTCCGGTTCTTAGGGCAGCCGTTCTGATTGATATCGACCAGCTCCGGAAAGACATCCTGACCGCACTTCCTAATGACCCTATCGCATCCGAACATCTTCCGGAACCTTCGGATCCGAGATGGACGGTGGACGATAGTGGTTTCCTCCGCTGCGACAACCGTATATATGTTCCGGAATCTAATAATCTCCGTCTTCGCGTCCTCCAGAATACTCATGATCATCCGTTGTCCGGACACTTCGGACAGAACCGGACGCTAGATATCATCCGACGCGAGTACACTTGGCCAGGAATCCGTACCTATGTCAAAGACTACGTCAAGTCTTGTACTTCCTGCGGCCGAGCTAAGGTTCCGAGACACAAACCTTACGGATTGCTCAAGCAGTTACCCATACCGGAAAAGCCTTGGAATTCTATATCCATGGATTTCATCGAGCACCTTCCGGACTCATCCGGCTTTACAGCCATCCTCGTCGTAATCGACCGTCTATCCAAACAAGCTATATTCATCCCTACCCACGACACCATTACCTCTCCGGATCTCGCTCGTCTATTCGTCCTCCACGTGTTTTCCAAGCACGGAGTTCCATCCCATGTCACTTCGGACCGAGGAACAGAATTCGTATCGCATTTCTTCCGGTCCTTAGGAAAAGCATTAGATATGGTCCTCCACTTCACGTCCGGATATCATCCGGAAGGAGACGGACAAACCGAACGAGCGAACCAAACCCTTGAACAATACCTCCGGATATACTGCAACTATCAGCAGGATAACTGGTCGGAACTACTTCCCTTGGCAGAATTCGCTTATAACAACGCTCCGAGTGCTACTACCGGAGTATCACCCTTCTTCGCCAATAAGGGATATCATCCGAACCTATCCGTTCATCCGGAACGTGACCTCTCATCCGCCCGCGCACGAGACTATGCAGTAGACCTTGACGAACTCCATCAGTTCCTCCGAGAAGAAATGGCCCACGCACAAGAAAGATATCAAGGACCTGCAGACGCCAAACGGAAACCTGCTCCGGATATGAAAATCGGAGATCCGGTCTTCGTCAAAGCAAAATACTTCCGATCCACCCGTCCGTCCAAGAAACTCTCGGAAAAGAACTTAGGTCCGTTCGAAATCATAGCTCGTCCGGGTACGCATTCTTTCACCATCCGACTTCCGGATTCCATGCGCTCCGTACACCCAGTTTTCCATGTCTCGCAATTAGAACCAGCCACACTCAATACCATTCCTAATCGTATCCAATCGCCTCCGCCTCCGGTCGAAGTCGACGGAGAACCCGAATATGAGATATCCGAAGTTTTGGACTCAAAATTAGACCGTCGGAGAAGACAATGTCAACTCCTATACCTCGTCCGATGGTCCGGATATGAAGGAACGGACGAGGAGACTTCATGGTTACTTGCTACGGAGCTCGGTAACGCATCCGAACTAGTTTCGGACTTCCACGCTGCATATCCGAACAAACCCGGTCCTATTCAACTTTGAAGTACATAGTGTGCATACGAAATACAAGTACATTTAGAGAAGAAGCATAAACGGACCAGAAATTCCTACATCTCCATAGACCCATCCGCCTCTCCGGATCCGCCTGCATCACTTCCGGACGCCCTTTCCATCACCTCATCTTCCTCCTCCGGACCCGGAGACGTCCGAAATCCCTTCCGAATATGTCCGAACAACATGGCTTGAAATTCCCTCTGTTGCTGAAGGAACAGCTCAATTCCGGAGCTCATCCGGTCCGCTGCAGCCCTGCTGCCTTCCGCCGCCTGAATACTTCTCTCCAAAAGGGTGTTAGTCCTAGCCAGCTCCGCCACTATACTGTTGGCTGCGGCCACCCAAGCCTGATCATCGTATTCCGTCTCCATCTCCTCCGGATCTTCAGGAGTCGGACTCTTCTGACGTTTCTTACCTTTACCTTTCGGAGATGGAGATCCGGCAGCATGCTTCCTCTTCTTGCCCTTGGGCACCTTGACAGTTCCGGGTCGTCCGGGGCACGTAGCCTTGTCCTTCCGGCAGATATCGCAAGACTTGACCTATCCGGACGTCAAAACACCCGGATCCGAAAAAAAAACACGGATTAACTCACCAGAGCATTGCTCTCCGCATCCGTCCAAAGGCAAGTCCGGCCTCTGTCGCTGCAACGCTTGCAGGATCCGTCCTTGTCAGCGGAAATGGCACGAGACTTTTCATCCGTCAGGCAAAGCCATCATAACCATCCGAAACTCACCATTTCCTCTACTATCTCCCTGCGCCGTTTGTTTTCTGCCTCCACCCGAATTTCGGACTCTCGAATCCTCTTAAGATCCTCCTGAATCTTCCGTTCCTCTTCACGCTTCCGCTCCGCCTCCTGACGCTTCCGAATCTCCTCCTCCTCCTTCCGAGCCGCAGCTTCAGCGTCCGCTAGTTGCTGTTGAAGCTCCAGCAGTTTCTGCTTAGCAGTCTTCTGAGATCCGGAGGTGTTGCCAGACATTTTCGATAGAGCGTTATAGAGAGTAAAAAGTGGGAAAGGAAGAATCATCCTGGGACGTCCGCCCTTGAGTATACCTGTCCGATTCCGAACTCAGACGCTTCTCCATCATCTCGCGATAATCTCGTCCGGTCCGGACCGATGGTTCTTGTGCCTCTAGGGATCGGCCCTAAGGGGGGGATACTGTCATATCCCATATATTCACGCTTCTCTTCCGGACTTCGGACCCTGAGATCCGGTCCGGTCCGATGTATAGATCCGCTTCCGATCCGATTTACGATAAGCTTTCTAATTCATTTCCTGTTTCATATAACGTTAAACACAGCCTATTCGGTATTTCCTCTTCCCGGTGTTTCGGTTATGCTTATTACCGGTATGATTACTGATCCGTTAACCTATGTCTCATTTCCGACTCGCGTTTGATAACCTTTGCACATGCTTCGTACATAGCCTCGGACCCTTGCTTACTGATACTTCCGTTATCCTCATAGTATATAAACTCGTGTATATGTCCTGTAGTACCTCAGTTCGAATATCATCTTAGTTTGTCCTCTTTCTGTCCTCCGGACTTGAGTTCTCCTTACTCTTGTCACTCTCCGAGACTTCGGATAGATTCCGATAGTCTATATCCTCGGCTCTACCTTCGGGTAGTCTTTACTCTGTTAGTTTCTAGTTCGGATACGTCCGGATTAGCCTTATACGCGTTTCCGATATCCGGAAGACTTCCGGATATACTACGAGACCCGTCCGGACCTTCGGACGCGTTATCGTTAGTACTTTGAAATAAGGGACAGTACTTGGGAAAGGGGCACAGCGTACGAGCTGAGGCCGAAGTCCTTCGGATCCGATCTTACGAGAGTACGACCTTAACAGTACCGCGCACCATACTGAACCACTTACCTAAAGGTGACGTTACTTCCAACTAGAACACATTGTCTCAAACCCTGTTGAGAGGGTGAGCTTGACGTCTGAGGTGTCACCGGTGCGTTGCTGTGCATAATATGATGTTGATTGTTACAACAGTGCCGACTCATACCTTATATATATGACACGCGAACCAGAGTCACTGGCGGGTGACATAATGCGCCATCGAAATTATTTATGAGTCTAGGACGCCATCGTTACCTCGTTCTGATCCTGATGGCCTACACATAATACGCCATCCATAATATGTATGGTGTAGTGCGCAAAGGCTCGCTTTTTTAGATGCTGATGGCGCGCTTGGATGTATAAAACTTCTCATTTGCTGCTTGTATCAGACTTACCTTTCCCCCCCAATCCAGTATGAACGATGACGAGAATGATACCTCTCCTGGCGAATCTTCACGCAAGCGCAGTGGTTCAGCACTTTGTATGGGCCCCCGTAAAAAGGCGTAAGTGGCTTTTCATGTGCTGAAATGCATCCTTAGTGACTTTTCCTGGTTAGTGCCTCATCAAATCCCCTCGTTCTCCATGGTCGGCACTTTGGTCGGACGGTATTTGCATTATGCAATTATCCTTCTCTCCTGACTGGAGGCATACTCCGACTCGAGGAGTTACAAGACTCTTCCATAGAAGATTATCCTGTCGAGTAAGTGGGATTATGACGGTTTAATGTCGATTGTGTCTAACTATACTTTCAACTCCAGTGTTCGACGGGAGCACAGGGTATTCTTGGAGCTTTTAGACTCCTATCCAGGTCTCTTAGAGCGTCTGACGGCCGGTGAGGAAGAAGATATCATCCACATCGGAGAATTGGTAAGTCTTATGTGTTTAAAGGGTATTCGTAGTCACCTTCTTATAGATGGGCAAGGGAGCGTCTGGTGCGCGAGGCGATGACACTAAGACCCTCAAATCTGCCGTACTCGAATGGCTTATGCCAAAAGGACAGCCACTCATCCCGCCCCTCTCCCGAAATATTAAGTCCGACCGTGGATTCAACCATGAAGTGACTGGTGCATTGCTCTGCCCCACAGGCCTTGATTGGTCAAATTCAGAGTAAGCCTTTCCGCCATTCAGCAAACTCATTATCATAACCGTCCCCAGAACCAAAAATAGCCTTAAAAGTGGTGAAACGGCGGTCCGTGGTGACCAGTGGCCTATGTTTTTATATTCTGGATATGTCTATGATCCCGAATTTCCATGGCAGGGTTTATTAAAGAGCGAGATTCTCATCTGCGTGAGTTTTACATTGTAGCGGTAAAGTTCTTGTTTAATGCCGTTTCCCTTGACAGGGTTTCAAACACGTATTTACATCTCCAAGCTCCGTGGAAAAGGAGCCCAAAGCTACGCGTTCTGGTAATGCGTACCTCCATGGCATGAAATCCGTGACAAAAGGTTCGCTGGCTTATATTGCTACGCAGGTGCGTTAAAATTGGTTATGGTACCCCCCGCTAATTGTTCCTCCAGGTTCGCTTTGCATTGAGCTCCTCCTCTGTATTTTCTCGCACGGACACGGTCACAGACTCAGAAAATTTTTATCACAGCATTCTCGACCTGTTAGAGGATCTGGATGAAATTGAAGAAGTAGCTGACCTGATGACATGGTGGACATGGTTCGCAATATATTTATTTGTCTTCGAGCTCTACATTAACACTCAACAGTCGAATTTTTCCGAACTCTTCCTCTTCACAACGAACCATTAGCAAAAACAGCGCGTTATCCAAAATTCGAGAAAAACGCGCTGCCCTTCATGCAATGGCCAATGCTAACACTAATTAATTTGTTGTTTTATTATGTTTGATATTGTTCTGTATGCCTCGTAGTCAATAGATCGCTAATGCTATTGATGAATGCTCTGTCTATAAAGTCTAATGCAGCATGATAAATTATTCTGTTAGAGTTTGTAGGTATCAACAACTTGCTATGGTGAGATAATTTGGTGTCGCACCCTGAAAAACTGTTGTTGATGGTACATTCTGCCATCAGACACCATCCTTGTAAGGGCATGTATGTTTGACAAGATATCAGCAGCTTGCTACAGTAAGATAACCCAGTGTCTCATCTTGACATGCTGTCATTAGTTGCAGCATCATAAGCCATCCATACAAGACTATGTAGATTTGACACATGGTTGACACCTTGCTATGGCAAGATAGTTCAGTGTCACACATAAGCAAACTGTCAGTGATGGTGGAAAGTGCCATCAGAGGCTACCCATCTAAAGCCAGATACATTTTTCAGAAACACAACACCTTGCTATGGCATGGTAGCTCAGTGTCGCACATCGGCACACTGTCAGCGATGGTGGAAACTGCCACCGGAGGCTACCCATCTAAAGCCAGATACATTTTTCAGAAACACAACACCTTGCTATGGCATGGTAGCTCAGTGTCGCACATCGGCACACTGTCAGCGATGGTGGAAACTGCCACCGGAGGCTACCCATCTAAAGCCAGATACATTTTTCAGAAACACAACACCTTGCTATGGCATGGTAGCTCAGTGTCGCACATCGGCACACTGTCAGCGATGGTGGAAACTGCCATCGGAGGCTACCCATCTAAAGCCAGATACATTTTTCAGAAACACAGCACCTTGCTATGGCATGGTAGCTCAGTGTCGCACATCGGCACACTGTCAGCGATGGTGGAAACTGCCACCGGAGGCTACCCATCTAAAGCCAGATACATTTTTCAGAAACACAACACCTTGCTATGGCATGGTAGCTCAGTGTCGCACATCGGCACACTGTCAGCAATGGGGGAAACTGCCATTGGAGGCTACCTATCTAAAGCCAGACACATTTTGCCAAAACACAAATATGTGCTACTAGATCACACTTTGCTACCATAAGTCTATCAGTATCATAGCTTTGGTAGATCTCACCAGCGTAGTCTGCCTATCTATTCCTTTATCATTTCATCTGTAATTGTGATAATTAATTTTTATATTGTACATTAGATAAAGTTAGCTAAAGCTTTGCCATTCTGTAGTCAAATGCCTGATGTAGATAGATACTACCTCTGATTCCTTTTGATGTTCCAGTAATCATATCATCAATTCAATCGATCAGCATATATATACATGTTGATATTTTTGCAAGAGCATGACACTATCTGTCCTCAATTTGTATCCTGCTGTAATTGCTCGGGAGGTTTCTCGTCGTCGAGGTCTCCACCTGCTTCTATCGCTAGCTCCATGAGCTTGCCTGCTAATTCACTAAGTATGTCGATGTCATTCTTCCCATGCCTCTCCTTTCGACGTTCCTTTATGAAGTATCCGTATTCGTTGATGGCGCGTCGGGAAAAGTCACCAGCGACATTAGCCATCGGAGTCGGAGTCATATACTGATGGACGTGGTCGACTGTCCATGTTACCGCTCTGTCCTGAAGGTGCGGCTTAGTTGACTATCGTTAACAAAATGGTTGAGGTTAACTTACGATGAACCTCTCTTTATAGCTTGCCATGAGGAAAATGCTCGTAGACAGAAGAATAAGCACTTGAGTCAGGACCATCCACATATGCCATAGTGACCAATAATCGTTGGAGGGAGTCTTGGGCGCCTTTCGAGGCGCATAATCGTACGTCCATAGCTTGATTGTAGCGTTTCTACGGCCTTGCGCTGGTGAAACGCTGGCAATCGTGCAACGGCCGTTAAAATCACGGGTCTGAAACAACCTGCTTTCAGTGACATCCTCTGTCGTTATCTATTGCCACTTACTGCTATTGTCTGTACCAAGCCACCATCTGCATGATGGAGAGCCTCAAGTAGCTCTCCTGCCTTCCTGTCGAATATGTACACCAGGCCATTGTCGCTTCCACCCGCAATCACCTTTCCTTCTTCCCCGAAGGCCACTTGCTTGGGGACTGACATGCTCGGAACAGCAGTCGTGAATGTTCGAACGGGCTCCTCCCCCTCGTTTTCAAGATGATACATTGTAAACCCGTCCGTCGCGTTATCTACGACGAATAAGCCCCTCTTGAGGCTGACTGCAGCGTGCCCACTTGACGGATTTTAGCAATGCGCTCAACGAATGCACCTGGGTATGGCCTTACATGACTGACTGACAGCTAAACTCCCTCACAACAGTACCATCTGTGCCCTCCAATGTAATACTGCGCGACATTTAGTATGATGCGAAAGGGCTGTAATGGGGCCTTACAAATTTCCGTCGTAGAGGCCAAAAACGTAGATGTCGCGGTTTTCTGCAAACGCTACGGACTTCGGTACCGTATTGTCAAGTCGTACTGCAAAGACAGACTGGAGCTGCGAGTTGGCGTTGAGCAGGAGAACTTGGACTATCTTGTCTCTCGTTCCGACTGTGATCCGCGTATTGGCCTCGGAGGAAGTCGAATCCCATGATAAACATGTGATCTCGAAACCTGATCCGAGCCTCCTCGTGCAAATTTCCTGGAATCTTTTCTGTCCAGCTGTCAACGGAAGGTTCGACTAAGTCCGTCTAAACTTACGTCTATGAGACTTCGACGCAAAAAAACCACGTAGCCCAGCCCAGCTCCGTAACAAAGAGTCTCGGCGGCGGTTGGTCTAGTCAAGGTCCAGGCCGCACAGCTTACGGTTCCTTGTGATTCGTGATGATGAGATGAACAGGCGAGTTCTTTCTGAGAATTGATATCCCAAAGTTTAACACCCTCAGTACCTGGTTATTCGTCAGCGCTGCCCCTCCCTCCGGAGTGATGCATGGTGTATGCTTACCACCGCACGCGAGCAATTGCCCGTCATTAGAAATTGCGAGTGCGTGGACAGACCCGCTGGGGGCGGTCAGACGAGTAAGAAGCTTATAGCGCTGGTTGGACTTTGCCCTGATCCATCTAGCAAAGAAAGACATGTTGAATTGATGTGACGCGGCGTTGTAGTCGCCCGCTCACAGCGTATTTATCGGCTGTTTCTTTTTATTTGTCTTTCAGCATGTGCGATTGCGGTGTGCTTGTTCATTGTTTTGTGTGTTCTTGGTAATTGTAATTGTAATTGTGACTGTTGTTAATGATCTCGAACGCGACGAGCATACTTTAATTCGATGTCGTAAGACTAACCGGGGCGGTAATATTGATTGGGTTACATTACCCATCAACGATGAAGCGAATAATTCGTCAAGGGTCTAATAAGTCACGGTAAGCTTTGGTCGTTTCGTTATGTCTTGAATTGTTCGCAACATAGTACGTGCCACGTCGTGGTGCTTTCAAGCCCTCTTGCTACGCTCTACAGGTCTTCCACAATTGATGTGCTCGACGGTATATACTGTGAATCAGGTATCTTGCTTTCTTGGCATTCTTCAGGAACGGGTTGTACTGTTCCCTCTGCGATTCAGACAAGGCAGGAATGAAAAAGGACACTTTTGCCTCTCTCTATTTAGCCATGGCTGACATAATGAACCTCCGACAAAGTTGAGCCGAGCGGCTGATATGCGGTTTCCTGGAAACGTTCTCACTATTCTTGGTTAGACTTCACGAGATCGGGTGTCTCCTTTATTCGTCTTCACAAGGCTTTTTGTGTAGTATGCCGCTGCTCAGCAATTCCATGACAACTCCTCTAGTCATAATTGAATGACTTCCCGGCGCCGCAGCGTTAGAGGCGACATTTTTCTCTTTGTAGCGCGGCTACCCTGTTTGGGAATGTTGAACTTGTACCGAACGTAAGTAATGATTGTTTTCACCTAATATGGCTGCAGTTCAAATGTTCGAAGTTCAGTGACTAACGCACTACGTTCACCTGCTCAGATCATAGGTATAGTGTAAGTCATTCTTCTACATTTCAAGAATCTATTTACATCGTGTATCATGAGCCTGGTGCTTCATCAGTATTCTCCCCAGGTAAGTTTCCATTGTACGCCCGATACGCAGGTCACTCTCACAGGAAAAAAGCACCAATGTGACGCTTTTCAGAGCGTTATGAACACTCAGGTTCCATCCGCTCTCAAGCGGAACTTTTATCCGCGCGTTGGCATTACACTATGCATTGATTACTGACAGCCGCATTTATGATGATATCATACTTTTCGGTATCAGCTAACTCTTACCTCAACTAACTTTGGCTCGATATTACCTCTCTTAGTTGGCGGCGCCTGAGTGCCCATTAAAGAGGTAAAGGTACAGATGGTACGTTTGCGCATAGTGCCCCGCCCTTCTACGATTACGGATGTATAACTCTACATACAGTCAAAATGACCATTGGATTGAATCGAGTCTTTGTAAAGGTCTGCCGTGTCGTTCTGCGGAGATTTGCACAACTGGATGATGGATCGAGACGTGCAGGATCATACCACACATCCCCGCGCATCCCGAACGCTCGTTTCATTGGTACGAAGTAAGTGGATTCCTGATCAATTATCGTGTATCTTTCACACACACATTTTAGCTTAAGAGAAAGTTGAATTTCATTCACAATCGGCGCTGTCTTGAACTTAGTGGAAGCAGATACTCGCCGACTCTCAGAAAATATCTTGTTTGTGGAAGTGTCCACAATTTCGCCTTGAATCTCTCGACCATCGTTTAGCTGATTCCCTCACTGTGATCTGGCGAACATCCTGACCTCGTTCAGCGTGATCAGACAAACCTAAACATTCTTCTTACGCGCTGGAATATATCGAAACCCTTCTAGATGGCGCATAGTCTTTTTTCACACAGCGTCGGTGCGCGAAAGAGAGAAGGAGAACAAATTGTGGTAAGTGTCCGTTACACGCTCGCTACTTACGTCGCTTTTCAACGGGCCGAAGCACCAGCGTGACGTTTTTGAAAACGTCATACACACTCAGCTTCCATCCGCTGTCAAGATGAATGTTTTACGCGATATGTCATCATCGCTTGACCGCCTGAACAGCTGTGCTCGGTCGTATTGGCACAAAGTACGAAACCAATGCATTCATGTCGCCAGGAGTGCGAGGTCGATGAGATGTAGGGCGAGTCCGTTTTGATTTACTGACGCTCAACCTTTTTTAATACACTTTTTGCAGCCTTAAGTTCAAACCTCAGATCGGCATATTAGACGCGCTTCACACCACATAGTTTTGAACATTGACTCCAGCTCTATGCCTGCTACCCCGCTGTTTCATAACGCTGTATCTAGTGTTTAGATTTACCATTGCACTGTATGATTACCACACCACTCGCATTTCCCCCCGCTTCTCGTCCATCGTATTTTAATCGTGTCGACAGTTGGTATAAACGACGACCTACTCCCCCCTCGATTTCAGAAAGGACAAGATACACGAGTTTACATGTATGCTATGCTTCGTGATCCTTACAAGAGTAACTTTTGAAAATACGCAAGAAAATAATATATTATGCGGACAGAGATGCGACTACCAACGGTACATTACATCGACAAGGCCACAACATTCGCACCCTTACAAAACTGTTACTCGTACTAAGAGGGTGGCCATAACATGCCAGCATACTGTAGCTGCTGTATCTGAGTGCTCGGCAGCCGTAGACTTGGTTAATATCTACATTGTTTGTGATTGCCTGTTCAGATTTGCGCGAGAAAGACGTTGAGCTACAAATGCGGCTCGCAGTCGATTACTATGAGCGGGCGACCAGTCACCGGGTCAGCATGGCCACTATAGTCGCCAAAAAAAGTAGCGCGAGGCTTGATCAACGGTGATGGTTTGAAACCGACTATCTGCACTATAGATGGTTCAGCGCTCATATGTATGTCAGAGACCCGATGACTAGTATGTTTTGCTTATGATCAGCGATTACTACTAGGTACTAGTACGGGCGGGCGAATTAGATGGCTTACATAAGCGAAAATTGGGCACCCAATACGACAATTTGACGACAATATTAATGTCACAAAGTTTTCGCTCATCGTGATCGCTTTGCTCACAATCTACCACACTTTTACCTTAAGTTTTCCCCAAGCATGAGAGTTCTCGCATCAGGACTTTCATCGGCATAGACATGGTCAATGATGTTTCCCGGGGCACGAGAGCGCGGGTGACATACGTCGTCCTTGGCCTAGGCTATAATGAAGGTGAATATTTCTTCCCGCTCGCTTGTCGCTGTGGAACTCAATTGGCAAAATAGCAAACCAGGATTCTTCCTCCCGTTCTGACGAGCCTGGTTACTCGGCATTCGAGGCAGCTTTCCAACGCTTTATAGACTCGTCACTCGTAGAAGGTTGGCGGGTCCGATTTGTTCACACTTGAATCGCTCACGAGTCACGACATGCATGGCCTCGGACTCCTCAAAATATAGAGCCATTCTCCTCGTTAGAGGTGCTGTGGACGAGTTTCCCGACGCCCTAATATGTTTTGAAGGTCGATGGTATGGCTTGAACCGTTTCGTATGCATCGCACTAGTCTTCTGGCGACTCAGAGAAAGTGATTTGGACTCCATGAGTCGTTCAATAATACGATCAATCGAACTGACTTATTGTTCTAAATTATTCTTATAATACAAGATCTAATAAGGTTACAGATTTTGAGATATGGAGCAGAGGCTCCATAGATGATTATAATCGATTCGCGGATGCTGACCTGTGATGCTGGTTGGTCGTGGGACGAAATGTTTCATTAGATGAAGAAAGTAGATACCTCCATCTTGCTGACCTCGCTTAATTCTAACTGACTGGTAGAGCGAACATTTGGTGCCTCCTACGTAAAATCATTCTGTATTCGAAGAGGTGATTGGATCGGTTTTGTGAATTAGACAAAGTTGCATATTAGTCGAGACTAACGTACATGGGCAAGCTAACCCGATATAACTACTTATTATACACAAGCTCCGAATCGAATCGTTTATTTCTATTTCCCCGATCACATAGTAACGAAGGTATTGCCTAGCTGCGTTCAAAAGACAATGAACAAGCGTGCCATGATCGCACATACTAAAGACAAAAACCACAACCATAAAAATGGCCGATGAATACGTCGCGACTCGGAGCAGGCGACTACAGCGCGTTGCATCACATTCAATCACCAACCTAGAACAATGAAAAGTTTCACATCAGTAAGTCAAAACAGAAAATCAAAACAGACTCACCCTATTTCTCGTCAACGTTACATTCCTGGCGACGCGCATGCATCCGCCTCTTACTTTGTTACCAGCCCATCACTCAATCATAGCCCGTACAACCCAGGACCTGATGCGGAACACGTACCGTACACTTGGATGGCCAGAGAAGGAAGCAGGAGGAACTGAAATATTTGCATTTCAGTCGCGACTTACACAGTCAATCTAAGATACTCACCACGCGCGAATGGACAGATGAAGGCTTCGTCCCAAACAATACAATATGCGGGCCTCGGTGATTAGCCTGGTGGCCGCACACCGACATTACCGAGTGGGAGCTCGTTCAGACAAGAAAATTTGCAGACGGGCTGAGAGCAAAAGGGGAAGTGGACTTTCGTTTGCGTGTATATGAGTCCATAGGTTCCACGAAATTGACGACCATTTCTCGATAATAAGCTCAAGAGTAACTTGAAGTTCCTGGCCTGAAAGCAAAGTTTGTTTGCGATTGATTTCATTTACATAAGCTACTGCGCCCAAACTTCATCTTGTACTACATAGCGGGTCACTGAGAACCTGAGATGACCGTGACGTAGCATCTGAGCGTTATAGCTAGCGCTGAACTATCGATAGCACTCAAAGTAAGGTTTCAAAAAATCGATCAAACTGCACGCTAAAACCTTTTGCTTTTACAAGCTTTTTACCTTTTTTGCAATTATATGTGGTGGCCGCCCACTCATTCAAGTCGACTGCGAGCATTTGCTACCATGATCATGCTCGTCGTGTCAGTGTCATGTTCCCTCAGTCTTGCTTACTCACGTGTTGCTGTATAGCTGTCGATGCATGCATTTTTAGGTGAACTTTGAGCAGCCTCTGCATGCCAGTCACGATCTGGTTTCCTTCGTGGCTGATTTGGCAGCCCCAGGCGCCCCTTCTACTATTGTCCGTTTCTGACTCTTGCAGAGTCGGACAGTCATTGAATCGAGCCTTGTTCAGCTGGCTGAACTTTCTCTCGCAAGCCTGATCATTTGCACGTGCTGAAATCTCACAACCCTTTTTTTGTTCGTTGCACTCTGAACCTTAGCAGGCTTGTTCAGCGTAACCAAGCGAGTGTTTCCTTCCCAAGTCTTTTTACGCACTGACTGTTCGGTCGTTGTCCTCACTGTAATCGGATGTCCGATTTCTGACGTTGCCAAATCTCCTGAAGGAAGTCCCACTCAATTCAAGCACGTCAACTTTTTTATTCGTGAGGGTTTCACGTTCTGAACATGCGCTGCGTTTAGCAGACATCAAAAAGCTCAAACTCCTGGCGTCTTTGATCATCCGAATATGTCCGCTCCGTAAGCATCTCCGTCAAGACAATGTTGCAGTCATGGTTTACGCTGTGCTTTACAGCTTTGTGTCAGCATACAGGAGAACGCGCGCGAGACGTTCATCATGATTGTCAGCAAACTTTGCACCTCTTCGACTACATTCGCAATGTCCCTGCTCCGTTCCCGAAAAAAAGTTGTATGCACGCTTGACATGCACTTTTTTTTTCTTGCCTGTACATCTCGCAGTCGATGTCTTTTCGTGCGCCGTGGTGGGTTTTTTTTACCATTCTCTTCTTTTGTCATTACCCAGCGTTTCTCAAGAGAATGGACGAGCATGTTATTTACGATATCGTTGGAGCAATACACCAAGGGGTGAGTTGCCACCTTGCAGTACAATCATCGCAGCCACTGACGAGACATCCGTACCATCTATTATAGGCTTGAGGAAACGACGGTGTTCAGCAATCATCGGCCTCCCCGAGCGGACGTGGGCTCATGACCCTCATGATCAGCAACTGTACCTGAAGTCGTCATTGTTTCAGCCTACTCTGAATCGGGTCTTTGCATCAGCTTCTAACACTCAAAATTGTTCGTCGCATGCCTTTTCATAATGAATGGTTTGACATCGATATCGTCTTGCAGCCTCGAATTCATTGATAGAAGCAAATCTAAATGCGACAAGCAGCCGGATTAGCTGTACATTGGCGGCATTCCTAATCATACAGGGGAACTTTCCTCTAATATGGAGTGCCGCAAGTGAGATTAAAGGTCGCAAGGTCGGTCTATGATAGGCACATCCCCCTTGATCTGCCTAATGAATATGATTTTCGTTTATCACAGCCTGTCTACTTGATGGCTTCAGCTTTATTCACAGTAGGAAGTGCTGCGTTAGCGCTTTGCTAGACCATCGATGTGATGATCGGGGCTGCGGGGTGAGCATTCAGGCAAAAGGCTTAGTCATTGATTGACTCGCCCTTCTGCAGATCATGCGCTATCATGGCTATTTCAGCTGCGACCCTGGCTGACATATATGACACTCATGAACGAGGGTCTTTGCTGCGCCTCTCTTAGGACCTGCAATCGGCCCTATACTCGATTGGCTCATTGTCACATGCTTTTGGTTGGCGCGCAAGTTTCTACTTCCTGCTGATCTGTGAAGTCGTCACCTTCTTGTCCTTTCTCATCCTGTTCAAGGACACATACCGACGTGAACGGAGCCTCACCTATTGCCCTGCTTTCGTTTCATATCTGAAGTCATCTGACGGTGAAATAGGATTGAGCAGCGTAACTGATTTGTGTCCTACATGACGGTGCGAATGTTGTGGCCTTGTCGATGTAATGTACCGTTGGTAGTCGCATCTCTGTCCGCATAATATATTATTTTCTTGCGTATTTTCAAAAGTTACTCTTGTAAGGATCACGAAGCATAGCATACATGTAAACTCGTGTATCTTGTCCTTTCTGAAATCGAGGGGGGAGTAGGTCGTCGTTTATACCAACTGTCGACACGATTAAAATACGATGGACGAGAAGCGGGGGGAAATGCGAGTGGTGTGGTAATCATACAGTGCAATGGTAAATCTAAACACTAGATACAGCGTTATGAAACAGCGGGGTAGCAGGCATAGAGCTGGAGTCAATGTTCAAAACTATGTGGTGTGAAGCGCGTCTAATATGCCGATCTGAGGTTTGAACTTAAGGCTGCAAAAAGTGTATTAAAAAAGGTTGAGCGTCAGTAAATCAAAACGGACTCGCCCTACATCTCATCGACCTCGCACTCCTGGCGACATGAATGCATTGGTTTCGTACTTTGTGCCAATACGACCGAGCACAGCTGTTCAGGCGGTCAAGCGATGATGACATATCGCGTAAAACATTCATCTTGACAGCGGATGGAAGCTGAGTGTGTATGACGTTTTCAAAAACGTCACGCTGGTGCTTCGGCCCGTTGAAAAGCGACGTAAGTAGCGAGCGTGTAACGGACACTTACCACAATTTGTTCTCCTTCTCTCTTTCGCGCACCGACGCTGTGTGAAAAAAGACTATGCGCCATCTAGAAGGGTTTCGATATATTCCAGCGCGTAAGAAGAATGTTTAGGTTTGTCTGATCACGCTGAACGAGGTCAGGATGTTCGCCAGATCACAGTGAGGGAATCAGCTAAACGATGGTCGAGAGATTCAAGGCGAAATTGTGGACACTTCCACAAACAAGATATTTTCTGAGAGTCGGCGAGTATCTGCTTCCACTAAGTTCAAGACAGCGCCGATTGTGAATGAAATTCAACTTTCTCTTAAGCTAAAATGTGTGTGTGAAAGATACACGATAATTGATCAGGAATCCACTTACTTCGTACCAATGAAACGAGCGTTCGGGATGCGCGGGGATGTGTGGTATGATCCTGCACGTCTCGATCCATCATCCAGTTGTGCAAATCTCCGCAGAACGACACGGCAGACCTTTACAAAGACTCGATTCAGCAGAGTTACCGGTAACTGTAGAAATCAGCTAAGACTATTTCCAGCGCTGTACCTATTGCAGGTGGGTTAGGACAAGATGTAGTTGGCATCGAAAAGAGCGTACCAGTACCGGTGATATCATTATAAATGCAGTTGTCAGTAATCGATACAAAGTTTAATGCCAACGTGTGTCATAGTCGCCCACCTGCCATGTAATGAGAGGGATCAAGGATATAAATGTGCTAGGGATATAAAGATGTGAGTCAATACAGCTAGGCGAACAAAACAAGCTAGTAGTACTTCAATGTATTCAATGCAGGTCCAATGATGAAAAAGTCCCATAGTGAAATAAATAGCATGAATAGAAAAGCTACGCGATCGCTTTCATTTTACCTTTGGTTTTGCCGCTGATCCGTGTTCCACATATTGCACCGCGACGAACTGGCGCACCAAAGCCTGCTTCACTGGCGCCTGGTCCCCTTGCACGTTTGGTGGCGCCTTGAATGAATCGGGCATCGCTCTGAGCACCCTTTCTCTTGCTCCCAATACGCCCCTCGGGATCATCATCATCCACCATTAAAGGCATGCGATTGCCCGTGTCGAGATAGCGTTGATAACGGGCCCGAGCATATTCAAGCTCCTGATCTGGGGGGTATTGATCTTCAGCACCATTGATGCCGTCGCGGATGCGGCGCAGTACAGAAAGTACTCATTCGTGTGTTGTTGGTGGAGCCGTGCCGCGACGTACAAAGCCGTCAGAACACTTTGTCTCAGGGCCCGAGAAGAGACTCCGCAACTCGATCATCCCGTCTCGTATGATTTCATGCTGTACAAAGTAGGGCGTCATAAGATTGGCGAAGTCGGTGTCGGACACACTATCCCTCTGCTGGACGATGTCTAATGGTGAAAGAGAATGCACCCCAGGACGGACCCACGATAAATATAGAGGGGAGAAGGGTTCGTTGGCATGGTGGGAAGCAGAAGCAGAACGGTCAACATCCAAGACCTTTCCGTATGTCTTGACCTTTGCTAAGTGATTGATGAGCGAAGGTGTAATGGTTTTGTGCGCAGTAAAATGCTGGATCTCCCCATCCCAGTCACGACGCATGTTAAAGGGACCTGCGCAATTGCAGGTAATAAGGTAGGCCAACCAAAAATAAGATTCGAGGTCGTGATAAAACTCGACTTCCGTGTTTAACATCGAGGCATTAGACTCGAAGGGAAGTGTTCCCTTTCCATGATATCAGTATTGAATATTGGATCAAAAACAAGAAAGCAACTTACGGTACGTGGCAGGGACGCTTCTCCTCCAGGTTCCAAACAGTCTGTTGCAGACCCCCAATCAGATGCCACGCCGTTTCTCATAGGAGTCCACTCCTTTTCTGCCCCTTCAGGACGCGGAGGGACAGCGGATTCGGCAGATATCGTATCTACGAGGAATATTGTATTTCCATCGCTAACATCGCGGTGCAACACCTTGCGACGTTTATAAGCGTTATGATGACCTCAAATAAACGTTAGAGAAATAAGTATGTAGGCAAACATTCAATCTCACCAACTACGGTGCCTATGATGCCGTGGAACATTTCCCGCTGTAGAAACAACAATACAATGAGGAACAAAAGAAGCTCCTGACTGTATCTGTAAAAGTTGTAAGGTCGCGCGCTGCCTAGTCTGCGTTACTTGAGAAGCAAGTGCGTTCGACCCTATAGGGGAAGTGAGTGCAGCAAGGATCTAGAAGTGTGCGCTTAAGCGAAGCGCAAGAAAGCGCAGGTGCGCTTAAGCGAAGCGCAAGAAAGCGCAGGTGCGCGCAAGGTACAAAGGCGCGGGAACGCGCGCGCGTATTAGCGCGAAGCGCGGGAAAGCGCGCGCGCGTATGCGGAAATGAGAAACTAAGCTTAAGTAGTGATATAAAGCAAGATAAGAGATATAAGAGTGCAAAATGTAAAGGAATAGCTTTCTACTATATTCTGCTAAGTAGTAAGTGGGTAGTAACTAGTAAGTGAAAAGTAGGAAAAGTAGGTCCCGTGTAGTATGTACTGCTGGTGCTTATATAGCGCGCCTAAGCGCACTCATGCGGAGCCGAAGCGCTACCGAGTAGGTATGTAAAATATATATGAGTGAGAAACTAGGATAAAAATAAAGGTGGAACTATGCTAATAAAGGAAATGGAAATATACATACTAGGGAGCTTGGTGGACAGTGGATGGATGCATCTGGATGGCTGGCGCTATAGGGCGCGCAAGCGTGGGAACGTGCGCGCGCGTATACATCGTGAAGCGCGGGGATGGTGCGCGCATGGCGCGCGTTGCGTGGGAAAGCTGCGCCTCATATAGAGATAGCTGCGGGTAGCGCACAGAGTAATGCTATGAGTTTGTGCTGTATACTCCTTGGTGAAAACTACCATATCACGCCATGAGAGGCATGATTCTCTACATCTCCCAGGGACTTAAATTCTGAGTGTCCCCACTCAGCGCGCGCATGGTGAGGATTTTGCGTGATAGTATGTGTGCGCGATGCCTGTATGATGCTTGGGTCGTTGGGCGATGAATGCGCAAGTGCAGGAATTATTGCGTGGATGTGCGTGAAGCGTGGGAAGTTGCGCGCATGGTACGCGCAAGGCGCGAGAATGTGCGCGCGCTATGCGTGAAGGCGCGGGAATGAAGCGTAGCATGGCGAATTGCAAGGGTGACTCTGGTGTGAATAGTGTTCCCTGGGTGTGAGGCGATGATGTGAGAGTGATATGGATGTGGCGCGCATATGGCATAAAGCGCGAGAAAGTGCGCGCGCGCAAGGCGCGAGAAAGCGCGTGAGTGTCGCATGTGTTGTATTGTGCGTATGATGCGAAGTGGTGCGGTCCAAGAGCGATCCAATCCAAGTCCAAACCAAGTCCTGCTAGGCGCGCTAAATATTAGGTGGTAAGGTTTGAACAGTGTGAGTAAAACTATATGTGAAAATGCGAAGGAAAAAATGGTAAACTTTGCGGATGTCCTATCCGACTTGTCTTCTTCGTGCGGCTGTTGACATCTACACCTTCCTATGAGCGAGGCGCGGGAAGCGCGCACGCGCGCGCATGAGGCGCATGGGCGCGGGAATATTGCGCACATATGCGTGCATTCTAAGGTAAAAAGAGCATGGTGCCGCGTCATGCGTGCGAAGAAAAAATAATACTATTGAGCTAGGCGGGCACGATCTATGGTTGTTTTTCTTCTATGTTCTTCTAGGTGATTTCTATATGCATATATCAGTGTGTTATTAGTCTTTGGACAGCATTATAATGAGAGAAACAAAAATGAAAGCGCGCTGGACAAAACCCAGGGTAAAACAAACGGTATCCTATGAAACAATAATGTTATATGTTGTTCTTTGATGCGCAGCTGAGGCGCTTGATCCTCCTCCTTGAGTGCATGCGAGTGCGCATGACTAGCGCGCTTCACGTCTCTTGCGAGCTGACGCTTTACCCAAGGTAGGGTTGGAAATGAGTGAGGCTGGCGCACTTGGGGGGGCTTGTAACTGGCAGAATGAATTCCTGCACAACGCGCTGCAGGTTGAAGGCGCGCCAATGGGAGGTGCTGCAAGGGGTGTAGGGGCGCCCTACAAGCTGATAGGGTGCGCGCGATGTGCGCGCCTTGAAGCGATTTCGCGTGAATTTGATTATATTGGCCGAACACGCGAGGGACGGCCATTTCTCTGTGAATGTGTTAGCGAGAGATGTATATAGTGTTGAATTAGGCGCAAATGTTGTGCAAATGGGCTGTAAGGGTGGTATATCAAGGCGCAATAGGCGCATAGGTGAAGGAGAATAGTGCACATCAGGGCGCGCAGGAATGAAATTGACATGGTAAGCAAAAGCGCCAAGAATGCAAATAAATGTGGGAAGTGCGAAGTTAAAGGTGATGATAGGGGAGTTAGGCGCATATGTATGTGTCAGGCGCGCGCCTAAGTCGCGCCTGGATGACTGATTGTAATATACCTTGTGTTGAATGAAAGAAATGCAATTTAAAAGGGGAGAAGTGATAGAAACGCGATAGTGCGAAGACTCTGCTTGAATTATGAATGCGCAAGGCGCGGGAACGCGTGCGCATATTGCGCGATGCGCGTAATCATGGCGCGTGAACAAGGGGTGGTGCGAAGATGAACCTAAAGTGTTTGGAAGCGTCATATAGCTCCTTAAGAGCTTTAAACATGAAAGAGACAGAAAGTGCGAAATGAGATGAGGGTAAATATACAATACCTCTAGGCGCGCGCATGGCGCGTCCTCAGGCGCAATATGGTGCGCCTGAGTTGCGCCAGGGTCGCCTGAGACATGCTCTGCTTGGTGGTTAGGTGGCGTGATGCATGGATGCTTTACCGGCTCGCGATAGTCACTAGAAGCAAAGAGCGCGACATGCGCGTGATCGTTAGCGACAGATGGAATTACCAGAGACAAATTCTGGTTGATGCAAGGTGCGACTTGAGCCTCTGATGCGGCAGAAAGCTCCTCTATAGGCGCGCTAAGGTGCAATAGATGTTTAGAGTCATCCCTGACTGCTGGCGAGGTGATGGCGATAGGCGCGCGCGATGCGATTGGCGAGGTTTCTTCCTTAAGCGATGCGATAGGCGGGTGCATTTCAAGCGATGGCGTAATAACGTCCACAATGGGCGCGTTATTGTGCAATAGATGTTTAGAGTCATCCCTGACTGCTGGCGAGGTGATAGCGATAGGCGCACACAACGCGATAGCGATAGGCACACGTGTTTCAACTGGTGCGTTAGTGTGCAAGAGATGTTTAGAATCATCCCTGACTTCTGGCGATGTGAATGATGATGATGATGATGATGATGATGATGATGATGCGGATTGTGAAGGAGATGGTGCTGATGATGAAGGTGAAGAGGCGCCTGCAGCGCGCTTTGCGAGCGCGGGCCTGAGTTCGTGATCTAAAGTGATGCAGTCTGGTATAGCCTTGCATGCTGGCGCAGTTGATAGCTGAGGTGCGCATGAATCGCGCGAAGGCGCGGGAAAGGCGCGCGCGTGAGGCGCAAGAATAGGAACTGGTGGCCTTCTGTCAAGTACAACATTTGAGGGTGCGCGATAGAAGAGTCCAGCTGTTGCATTAGCGCTAATGGTCGTATCCTGCGTTGCGCGACTCTCGTGGTATTGATCTTTACACTTAGCCACTTTAGCTTGCACTGGCGCAGTTGCTGTGACTAAGTTCACAATTGGCGCTACTATGGGCACGCTAACTGGCGCGCTTGGCGCGGGAAAAGCGCGCGCAGGTAATAGGAACTGCGCAGCTGCAAAGACGTCCATGAATGGGTAGGGGTCGTATGGATGGTGGTCGGGGAACTTGATCATAAGGCGCAAGCGGATTTGCGCCTGAGCATCGCTAGGGATTCCTTCCATAAATAAGCGGTCGCGCTCAGCCTTTCCAATGTGGTCTTCTTCCATGAGTGGCTGCATAACCTTCCTGAATGCATGCAGGTAATTGCTGAGTTGTGTGCAAGAAGGCATTGGTTTGTTAGCGTATTCGCGCGCGATGGCGCGCAAGTCTGCGAGCGCATAGCGTCTTTTACCATCCCATCCAGGATACATTACCTTCACCTCATCTAAGAAGGCGTCGTAATCATCTACTGCCGCTTCTGGCATGCCTCCCCATAGTTCTCGATCATCGCGCGCAAGGTAGCGGATAATACCTTTGATGCGGTCGAGTCCTTGGAGTCCTGCTTCATCAGCGAGCTGCTCATATGCGTCAATAAATTCAGCGAGGTTGTCTGTAGTACCGTCAAACTTGGGCGCATTTGCTGTGCCGCGGATGGGCATTCTATAAGGCATTGAGGCGCATGAAAGGTGCGCGCGCAAGGCGCACAGGCGTGGGAACTATTGTGTGCGCGCAAGGCGCGAGAGTGCGTGACTATACAATGGTTAGCTTCTGAATTTGCAAAGAGATTGACCTTTATGCGTTAAATAGTGTGAAGTGCGAGAAAGGTGCGCGCGCGAGGCGCACAGGCGTGGGAATATTGCGCGCGCGCAAGGCACGAGAATGCGTGACTAGAAAATGATTAGCTTTTGAAATGCAAAGATATTGACCTGTATGCGCGAAATGCGCGGAACTAGATCTTGCTGACTGCTCCCCTCGCGGTGGGCTCCAGTTGTAGAAACAACAATACAATGAGGAACAAAAGAAGCTCCTGACTGTATCTGTAAAAGTTGTAAGGTCGCGCGCTGCCTAGTCTGCGTTACTTGAGAAGCAAGTGCGTTCGACCCTATAGGGGAAGTGAGTGCAGCAAGGATCTAGAAGTGTGCGCTTAAGCGAAGCGCAAGAAAGCGCAGGTGCGCTTAAGCGAAGCGCAAGAAAGCGCAGGTGCGCGCAAGGTACAAAGGCGCGGGAACGCGCGCGCGTATTAGCGCGAAGCGCGGGAAAGCGCGCGCGCGTATGCGGAAATGAGAAACTAAGCTTAAGTAGTGATATAAAGCAAGATAAGAGATATAAGAGTGCAAAATGTAAAGGAATAGCTTTCTACTATATTCTGCTAAGTAGTAAGTGGGTAGTAACTAGTAAGTGAAAAGTAGGAAAAGTAGGTCCCGTGTAGTATGTACTGCTGGTGCTTATATAGCGCGCCTAAGCGCGCTCATGCGGAGCCGAAGCGCTACCGAGTAGGTATGTAAAATATATATGAGTGAGAAACTAGGATAAAAATAAAGGTGGAACTATGCTAATAAAGGAAATGGAAATATACATACTAGGGAGCTTGGTGGACAGTGGATGGATGCATCTGGATGGCTGGCGCTATAGGGCGCGCAAGCGTGGGAACGTGCGCGCGCGTATACATCGTGAAGCGCGGGGATGGTGCGCGCATGGCGCGCGTTGCGTGGGAAAGCTGCGCCTCATATAGAGATAGCTGCGGGTAGCGCACAGAGTAATGCTATGAGTTTGTGCTGTATACTCCTTGGTGAAAACTACCATATCACGCCATGAGAGGCATGATTCTCTACACCGCGCAGTTCCGAACCACGAGATATCGACTCCACAGGTAGTGAAAGATGTACGGGATCTATGTCTTTCCTCGAGTTGAATTTTTCCTTGGGATTCGTCGAAAACCTTGGCCAGGACCTGCGATGGGATCATGGAAGCACATATGGAAGTGACTGACTGCGGAACTGGAGATTCGAAGAACAGGCCGATGGAAGGGTGCATGTGGTCTTGCATGATAGTTATTCCTGGGAGGAACTTGACATTATCCCAACAGCGACTGCCAACGTAGCAATATATTCCATCCAGCCTCTGAGCGCACTCTCTATCCAAACAATCACCAGAATCTTCCCCTCCGGTGAAAACCCATTCGCCATTGGGCGAGCGAATGAGAAGAGAGTCCCGTGTAGGATCTTGGAGTTTCCCGTGTATTACGTGATCGCTCACCGTCTTTGATGGGTCCCAACAGTCCTTGATTACAAGATTTTTTTTATCGTGTGCGCCCTCGACGGTGAAAACACGTGTGCCTTTGCCATGGAGACCTAGTCGCTCATCAAAGGAGTATACCATTCGGTTATACAAATAAGGCATACCTATTGATCGGTGAAGGTAGCCAACCAGATGGAACTCTGAGTCATCGCACGGCGCTCCGTTCTCTTCTTCATCCTGCCAATACCTCTTATCGTCCCAAACCTGGACTGCGGCGGGAGGAACACGGAAAATGTGAACATCGTATCCCAGCCACGAAAAATCTGCCTCCGTAAAGTAATTCATCACCTTGGAAAATAATTTGGGATCCGAACTTATGTCGAGCGCTTCGGAGTGAAGGCTTCTGCCGCGCGTGAACACAGACAGGCGAAGGGCTGTTCCGCATAAGCTTAGACAAGGGAACCATTGGCGATGAGGCTGGTGATGAAAGACGAAAGTAGCCTTGTCAGCGAGCTGTGTAATAGCACTCATCAAGAGCCTGGGACTATCTTCCCACTTCACCTCCATGATGGAAATGACGTGGGCCCACTTGCTTTCCTCCGAATTGCGGGAAATCAAGATTATATCGGGACTGCGAGTGGCTTCCAATGCAGTCCTGTTGAATGCCTTCCACACGCGCAATCCAATATCCTCAGGAATGGCGCCACCTTTCTTGAGATAGTTTTTGTACCTGCGGCTTTGAATTGTGATCTAAAATCAACAGTAAGGTTTTGGTAAGTAGAAGCGCCGGCATCACATACCTCATTGAAGAAGTTGGTAAGACAACTCTCAAAGGTCTGATCGAGTGGGGTGCCAGCTTCCTCCAACCAATTTTTGCGCTGTAATGGTAAGGGAGCTTTCGAAGCAGCTGTCCATTCATATGTTCCTTTGGTCTCCGTGAGTACACCATTCGGTCTGGCCCAGCGTTGAATCATCGTATTGCATTGTGTAGGGGAGAGAAACTCATCAGCGACATCAATAAGACGATTGTCGCACCAGGGAAGGTCGCAGATCAAGAGAGAGCCGATCTCTGCCTTCATGGCACTATCAATATCTCTGTGCTTGAAATGGTGTTTCATGTCTACTCCCCAGCTTGAATCTATCTGCAATTGCCAATTTTTTGGTGTAGAAGTGAAATGGTCCGCGGGAATGGGCTGGAACTTACTCTCTGGCGAAAGTTATGGATGAGAGATGGGGAAATGAGGGAACAAATGCTTGGTTGTCCTTGTGCAATGTCATACCCGCTACTAGTTGTGGCTGTGGCATCCTGCACTTCCCTTGATGAGTAAGTCATTTAAGTCTTTGGGAACTCACTGATGCCATTTCCCAAGGCTGAGACAACTGAGACAAGGAGAAGGCGAAGAGGCAGTTGGCCATTGGTTGGCCATGCAACGTAAGCGATTTTGCCCACGCCAATGTAGATTTGATAGATAACAAGAATAGAAAGGAACTTGCTGACGGCAAACGTTTTCAGGCATTGGATGCCTGTTGCCCGATGAGCGGACAACATCATACCTTGCTCCACGCAGTCCATCAAGCTCATCCATGAAGCTTTGAAGCTCGAAGGACTACTATTTACCATGATTGTTAAATTTCAACCAAAGTTTGGTGCGTCTTCTCAAAACGTTGTTCGAGGACTAGAACAGCGTGCCCACCGTGATCATTAATCTACAGATTGCCCAGAGAAATACCAACCAAAGTAAGAAAGGTAGGCGTTTCCGTGCCTCAATGCATGGCTTCCTTGAAACATGTTGTGTGGCCATGGTTTGGCCATGGTTTACCCATCACCAAAGTTTCCAACTGCAAAGTCTATCGACTGCCTTGTAATGCTCCCCGATGCTGGCTGATGCAGCCTTCCAGGGTTCTACTGTCATGTTATGGGGCCTTTGGCAATAGACCACGTAACGCACCTTTCGCGTTTCCCAGCTTCTAATCATAAGAACTTGATAAGCTAATTTTTGTCCCACAACATCAGACCGGAGTCTCGATTATTTTTGCTGGCTTTGGCTTGGTTTTCATATTATTCTTAACATCCGCGGATTCCAGAACCATCACACCCAGCTGAAAAGCTCAACATTGCAACACCAAAAGTACGGTATGTATTATGGACTTTGTTGTGAACCCGAAATACTTAGTGCTCATATACTTCCGTCAAAGAAGCAATCTTTGACATTACCCCAAATCGATCGCCACAAAAGTTTTTTTTGTTGCAAGTGCCCCACGTCCCTGTCTCCTGTACGTACGTCATTCCATTCAATTCCATGACAACTTTATAGCGCTCGTCGTACGCAACCACATGGTATTGTTTCTGCCCAATATAGCAGTCCAGTCTAGCTCGGATCATAAATGATTTCAATTCTCAGCATTGCTCAACTCATCTGCTCACCTCACACCATGCGCAACACTTCCAATGCTATTTCTCCCTTCTATGACCAGGAGCCTGGTGCTCCACCGCCATTCCCCCCAATGCTCACGGACCAACTCGAACTGTTTTGTAAGATCCATCGCCCAACTACACTTATTGCCGATGAGATCCTAGCTCCCAAAGCAAGTTCTATCATTACTACTGTGGGGACCTCGCCCACATGTGCCCCCAAGCTGAAACTTACAAAGCGATCACACAAGCGTGGTCACCGTTCCTCTCCGTACTCAAAAGAGGTTGCTCGAACTTGCTCCCGTTCCATGACACCTATATCCTCAGATTCGCCGGGTTCTTCAAATTCTTCTTCAAATGGCGACTCCTCGACTCCGGTCGTGCCATTACCGGAAGATTTGAAGATCCCCAAACCTCCTGGCGAACCTGGTCGCCCGGGGCGTGGAGGATACACGCTCTACGAGGCATTAAATTGGAGTCCGAAGGCATATGCAAAGTTCAAGGTTTCTAGTGTCTGTCTTACATTGCAAACCCACTCACAATGTCCAAGAAGCATGTGCATAACCTAATTGACGACCATCTTGAGACGGCGAAGTGCTCATCTGCCCAAAGTCCTGCACTCTTGAAGGTTGTACGGAACAAGGTAAACAGTCTTGATTGCAGTGGTTCGTGATCTCATGGCGTAATAGGCTGTCAGCGAGTTTCCAGAACTTGAGAAATACATCAACCTATGGCCCGTGAATGACATGATCATGTCACGCCTGAAGTACACGTCAGGTCGTGCCAGGCGGAAACTTGTGGAGATGGCTGTGGGTAAGAGTAAAAGTGATCATCTAAGGTGAGTTTTCAATCTATGTCAATAGCATCATGACTGACACCTCTGCAGGAAAACTAATCTACGACATGCCTTGTAGATTTACTAATGTCATACTTGTGGCCTTCATGAAAATCTATATGGACATCAACCGCACCATTTGCATCTTCATTCTACAGAAACTTGCGCACTTTGCACGAAACTGCGGAATTGCACAACTGCATGAAAGATAAAGTCGGGCAGGATAATAGTCCTTCCCTGCATCAGCCTACTTGTTAACGAATATTCTTTAGCAGTCTGTACGCTTGTCCTATTGGTAGGAAGCAATTGTTATTATGTTCATTTGAATTGGATAAGACTCCGTGGTTTTCCTCGTTGTGATCAGGTGGGTTTTGTGTCAGAACGATGTTCTTTTTACACGCTGAAATCTCACAATCATATTGATTTTGAATATATGGCATTAGAGAGAAGGAGATCAACTTGTAGTAAGTTTCCGTTACACATTCGGTACGTAGGTCACAGTAAAGAAGTACCAGCGCAACGTTTTTGAGGACGTCATGAACACTCAGTCTACTGTCAAAGCGAACGTTCCACGCGATACATTTTGACGAATCACAGTCTTTGTTCACGGTTGAGGCGAGTGCCATCATGGACACATCACGACACCGTTTTGTGGCATATGGAGTAAGATGTCTTGCACGGCATCACTCTCCTGTAGCTTTTCGGGAGTGATATAGCACATGGCTGGCCGGCGCATGACATCTCGTGAGTCGTCCATGGACCTCAGGGATGAGGGAAGTCAGACGTCCTTGCCGTTCAGCGTGGCATTGATAGCTTCGAGTTGGTTTGTTCTTCAAGACCGAAACTGCCTCAGCACAGTAAGGGGCCAACAATACAGCCACTGGACTCAGAGGGATGTATCCGGCCAGTGGTGCAATCACAGAATCGAGTGTGTTTTGATTGACCCATGTGTGACAAGTTGATGCTTGTATCCTGGTATGCAGAGCTCCATATGCTACGAAAGCGGTGTTGTGATGTCCTCGTCATCAAACGCAAACAAGACCGCAATACTGGACATTCCCAGACCAGACAGCCGAGCACGGCTGCTCCGAGTCAGTCGGTCAAGTTCGCGACACGTAGAAGATGTATCGCGTGAAACATTCAGCTTGAGAGCAGATGGAAGCTGAGTGTTCACGACGCTCTCAACAGCGTCGCGCTGGTGTTTTTTTCCTGTGAAAAAATGACCTGCGTATCGGGCGTACAACGGAAACTTACCATAAGTTGATCTCCTTCTGTTGCCCACGCACCGACGTCATCTGTTCAAAATGAAAAGAGTTCGCTTGTTTTAGCGCGCGGAGGAGCACACTTGCACTAGAAAGTTAGTCTGATCAGAGCTAAGAAAACAGCTAGAAAAAGTGTCATTTAGGGTAAGAAAAATATTGGTTGACATACATTGATTGAACAGTAAATGTATTTGACGTACCCGGGTGCCCGTCAAGAATTACGAGTATGAAAGACTGCGAGAGAAACTTTCAGAGTGCCAGCGTCAGATAGAGACAAAGTTTTGGTGCATGCATTCCGCTAATTGCGACTACTATTGAATATTTATGGCCAACCGAGTCGAGCACGAATGTCACTTGATGCTCTGATGTATTTGCAGTAGTAGAAGATCTTTGCAAAAGAGAAAAGGAATCCTCACGCCGGATTCCTCCGCGACTCGCGGTCACCGTTGTAGGTACAAAACTGTTACTCCTACTAAGAGGGTGGCCATAACATGCCAGCATACTATAGCTGCTGTATCTGAGTGCTCGGCAGCCGTAGACTTGGTTAATATCTACATTGTTTGTGATTGCCTGTTCAGATTTGCGCGAGAAAGACGTTGAGCGAGAACGTTGACGAGAAATAGGGTGAGTTTCTTGCGTATTTTCAAAAGTTACTCTTGTAAGGATCACGAAGCATAGCATACATGTAAACTCGTGTATCTTGTCCTTTCTGAAATCGAGGGGGGAGTAGGTCGTCGTTTATACCAACTGTCGACACGATTAAAATATGATGGACGAGAAGCGGGGGGAAATGCGAGTGGTGTGGTAATCATACAGTGCAATGGTAAATCTAAACACTAGATACAGCGTTATGAAACAGCGGGGTAGCAGGCATAGAGCTGGAGTCAATGTTCAAAACTATGTGGTGTGAAGCGCGTCTAATATGCCGATCTGAGGTTTGAACTTAAGGCTGCAAAAAGTGTATTAAAAAAGGTTGAGCGTCAGTAAATCAAAACGGACTCGCCCTACATCTCATCGACCTCGCACTCCTGGCGACATGAATGCATTGGTTTCGTACTTTGTGCCAATACGACCGAGCACAGCTGTTCAGGCGGTCAAGCGATGATGACATATCGCGTAAAACATTCATCTTGACAGCGGATGGAAGCTGAGTGTGTATGACGTTTTCAAAAACGTCACGCTGGTGCTTCGGCCCGTTGAAAAGCGACGTAAGTAGCGAGCGTGTAACGGACACTTACCACAATTTGTTCTCCTTCTCTCTTTCGCGCACCGACGCTGTGTGAAAAAAGACTATGCGCCATCTAGAAGGGTTTCGATATATTCCAGCGCGTAAGAAGAATGTTTAGGTTTGTCTGATCACGCTGAACGAGGTCAGGATGTTCGCCAGATCACAGTGAGGGAATCAGCTAAACGATGGTCGAGAGATTCAAGGCGAAATTGTGGACACTTCCACAAACAAGATATTTTCTGAGAGTCGGCGAGTATCTGCTTCCACTAAGTTCAAGACAGCGCCGATTGTGAATGAAATTCAACTTTCTCTTAAGCTAAAATGTGTGTGTGAAAGATACACGATAATTGATCAGGAATCCACTTACTTCGTACCAATGAAACGAGCGTTCGGGATGCGCGGGGATGTGTGGTATGATCCTGCACGTCTCGATCCATCATCCAGTTGTGCAAATCTCCGCAGAACGACACGGCAGACCTTTACAAAGACTCGATTCAATCCAATGGTCATTTTGACTGTATGTAGAGTTATACATCCGTAATCGTAGAAGGGCGGGGCACTATGCGCAAACGTACCATCTTTACCTTTACCTCTTTAATGGGCCCGTTTAAAAGCTGTTGACACAATTCTTTACTGTGTTCCATCAGGGCATAAGCTCCACGAAGGGACCAAACGGGCAGCTTTTTAACTGTAACCGATGCGCCAAATGTTCAAATAGACGTCGTCGATAGCATTGAAGCACTCACGGAAAGGAAAGGCTGTGAACATAGCAGCTTGAGAAAGAAGATGTTTGGCTATATCCAGAAGTTCAAAAGTGTCGTTTCGTGTAAGAAAAATGTTTAGACTTACACAAGAAAGACTTGCCTGATCACTTTAGATGAGTCTTGAGAATGTCGATATGATCGCCCGATTACAATAAGGGAAAAAGCCGCAGGGAGAAAGGGTTTCATCCTGCTCGACTCAAACCATCGCCATATTCGATTCAGTAGACATCCGACTCTTGCGTAGAGGGGGCAATTACCGATGTGGCTGGTACCGAAGTCCGAGGTTGATTACATGTCGCGGCTGACCGAGCGAGCATTCACTGCTCAAAGTTCAGCTAGAAATGTGTCAACACCGGGAGGTATTATGTAGAACCAGCCCATACACGTGGGTAAACGAGCCTAAGGGAACATGAGATTGACACGACGAGCACGATCGTAGCACCTCTAACAGTCGACTCGATTGTGAGCGGGCGATTTGGTACATGGTCGTTATACATAGTCGCCAAAGATGAGGAAAAATCAGCGTGCGGCTTGATTAATGATTTGGAACATACTTGTTTTCCGGGGCGATGTATAAAGCTTTGTTGACATTGATTGAACAGTAAATGTATTTAACTTGCCCAGTCCAGGCCCTGTGCAAGACAAAGTATGGGAAGCTGGGACATCGGCAAGTCCGTCGGCACCTCAAGCGGAGTATAGTGAGATGTTAGGCGGCGGGGGGATTGATTGAGATGGCCGTTCAAAACATTCAGCGGAGTTTAAATTCTGCCCGGAGGTGCCGAACTGGCCAAATCTTCTGCCTCAATGTTATACAACAACCCTACGGGCCCCCCTGGACCCGTTATTTTATTCATTGACCTTCCTCCAGCCTGTCCCCATGATTATGTTGCCCTAAAGTCTGGTGTCATAAGCTTAAGGCGAACGACTCGGAACTTCTCAGCAATTTGTCCCTCCCGTTCTCCGCTCAGGTTCTCTGTCGCGACATCGTGTATTGTTTTACTGATTGCCGCTTTGCGTCTGAGTCGTAGACGCGTCCACTCTTTGCCTCTGCCGCCTGGCCCTCGCGGTTTACCTATTTCTGGGTAATGCACTGCAACTGGACCTTGGCTCACATATATTGCCTGGGGAAAGATTTATGGTGGGTGTCTCAAGGTCTCTTTAAGCGCTTGTATTTAATTTTATCCCCTTTCATAGGCAAAATCATTCACTGTCGCATCCTCGGGATCGATATGATCATTATAAACTCTGAATCGATTGCGCGGGAGTTGTTGGACAAACGTTCTGCGATTTACTCGGACCGCCCCGTCATTCCCACCAATGAGATGTACGTCTTGCTCTCATCACTAGTACGGGCGGGCGAATTAGATGGATTACATCAGCGAAAACTGGGCACCAATACGACAATTTGACGACATATCACAAAGTTTTCGCTCATCGTGATCGCTTTGCTCGCAATCTACCACACTTTTACCTTAATTTTTCCCCAAGCATGAGAGTTCTCGCATCAGGACTTTCATCGGCATAGACATGGTCAATGATGTTTCCCGGGGCACGAGAGCGCGGGTGACATACGTCGTCCTTGGCCTAGGCTATAATGAAGGTGAATATTTCTTCCCGCTCGCTTGTCGCTGTGGAACTCAATTGGCAAAATAGCAAACCAGGATTCTTCCTCCCGTTCTGACGAGCCTGGTTACTCGGCATTCGAGGCAGCTTTCCAACGCTTTATAGACTCGTCACTCGTAGAAGGTTGGCGGGTCCGATTTGTTCACACTTGAATCGCTCACGAGTCACGACATGCATGGCCTCGGACTCCTCAAAATATAGAGCCATTCTCCTCGTTAGAGGTGCTGTGGATGAGTTTCCCGACGCCCTAATATGTTTTGAAGGTCGATGGTATGGCTTGAACCGTTTCGTATGCATCGCACTAGTCTTCTGGCGACTCAGAGAAAGTGATTTGGACTCCATGAGTCGTTCAATAATACGATCAATCGAACTGACTTATTGTTCTAAATTATTCTTATAATACAAGATCTAATAAGGTTACAGATTTTGAGATATGGAGCAGAGGCTCCATAGATGATTATAATCGATTCGCGGATGCTGACCTGGTAAGGACCAGACCTGCACAAGCAAGTCCGTCTGATGAAATGTAGAAAAACAGTTGAGCAAGGGCATTTGCGCATAGGGCCAATGTTCAGACTTAGACGAGAAAGACTTGGCTGATGAGTTCCGAAAATGTAGAGATGATCGCCCGATTACAGTGAGGCGAACAGCTGAATGAGCGTTGCGAGATATTCATCATGTAAGAGGACTCGCGCGATAAAGACTTGTCTGATCACGCTGAACATGCCTTGTGAGATTCCAGCGCGCAAATCTTGAGACGCTGACAATCGCATATGGTGAGTCATAGTGGGCGCGACTGCCACCGATGCGGGAGAAACCTGAATTGGAGTGTTGGTGAGGTGTGCTAATGGATGTGCGGTCGTATGAGCTGCAGGGACCTGGACCTGGGAATGGCTGCCACACGCCCATTATGTGACCACTTTCTGCATCGTCATCGCTGTCCTCTCTGTAAGGCTGCGAAGCATGCTGAGGTCGCAATACTGATGGCGGGGGCCCACCAGAATGATGAGAGGAGCTGGAACCTTTGTCTTTCTGCGCGAAAGATGCGTTGGGTGGCACATAGGGAGATGAACCACGTGCAGCGAAAGAGTCTCGAGCGACGGGTGAATGTCGTACCTTCCGTGGCTTTGTAGTGTCTTCGTTCGCGACCACCTCTCCGTGGCTCGCAACATCCGAGAAGAGAAAGCACACCGATCAATCCGAGTATGCCATAGGCTACCCAACCGCCTGCGCTTATTGAAATCTGAATGAGCTGTTAGCATTGGACTTCACGGAGACAGGTAGCCTTACAGTTAAGGTCAAAATAAGTAGCAGTCTTTGAAGTCTGTAGTGTCTCACAAATAAAGGACCAGGCTGAAGACGACATTGAATGAGCCAAGGACCAACCTATTCAATTGCTTCCTTATCGCAGTGAAAACGAAAAAAAAACAAGATGCTAGATTATTAGGACTCGATGCAGTCGGGCGAATTAGCATGGATAGCGGGCGATGAGCGGGTGATGAGTGGGCGATGGGCGATGGGCGGGCGATTCATTTAGTCTGTCCACAAAACTTGAAATTTCGTCTTCACATTTTGTCCCTGGTGCAATCATCAAATTTCCCGGGCGTCCAATTGTCGCACACAACTTTGAAATATTAGCAAGCATGTGGTCATATCCCAATTTTCAAGTTTTGTCTGGAGTTTTACGTGAGAATGAAACTTCAAATTTAAGCAATCACATAAAATATGATTATATTTCTTATTGTCACTGACATATTGTCGATGGGGATATGGTGGTGAATACTTCATGTTTTGTATTCTGCACAAAACACCGCCAAATTTTAAAGTTATGTTTCCATCTTTATGTTAGTTTACATTTCAAATATTTTCTTCACATTTTACACAACATATAAACCTCTCCTAAATATCGATGACCCCGATGTGAAATGAGGATATTCAAATTTACAATTCAGGCACAAGGAAGCTCGTCACATCATTCAAGGGTCACAAATCATTCAACTCGTCACTCGCGTGGACGCCCGATGGCACACGCCTTCTCACAGGTGGCAATAGTGAAGATCCTACTGTACGCGAATGGGATACGACAACCTGGAAGCAGGTCGGTGATCCCTGGACGGGCCACACCAATGAAATCAATTCCATTGCCGTTCATCCTGCTGGCACACTCGTTGCATCTACATCTAGTGACAGCCACACCCGTCTCTGGCAGCTCTCCGACCGACAAACCATTGCTGTCTTCAAGCACTCACTCGCCAATTTATGCGTCACTTTCTCCGTGGACGGCAATCACGTCTTCAGTGGAGGTTACGATGAGATGATCTCAGAGTGGGCAGTACCTCAGGGTATACATCCAAAGGCATGTTTCCGTCTCTGGCTCATATGCCACAAATCGAGCATGCTTCTTGCAGACTATTGCCACCACAACAGTCCGCGATGCATGCATAGATGGTGACTTATCTACTGACGAAGAACTACTCGTGCAAGATATCAATACCGATGCGAACGACCACACTCCCTACGTCCATCGCTCAAAGGTATGTTTCCGTTCTTGACTCATATATACCACAATTAGAGCATGTCGTGCAGATCCTAGCCATCACGACCTCCCGTATTGCATGTCTAGATGGAGACTTATCTACCGCCGAAGAACTACTCACTCAAGATATCAACATCAATCCAAACGACCATACTTCCTACGCCCATCGGTCATTCGTCATGGCACGAAAATACGACTGGGACCGCGCCCTTCTGGATGCAATCAGGGTGAGAATCATCACCGCCTTATACAGGGCTAACTCGACAGTGACATAGTCCATCAGGATTCAGCCCTCATTGACGGGCTATATCTCCAAGGGCATTGCCCTCTGTGGAAAAGGCCGCGTCCTGGATGCGAGGGCAGCATTTGATGTTGCATCCATGTACACGGACCAGGATTCAGAAATCACACATTTTCTGCTATTGATCAAAGTATGACACATTTACCTCGCATACTCTTTCCCTCATCGCGTATTTCAGGCCATCGCGCTTTTCAATGCAGATCAACATGACGAGGCAATCCTGCTCCTCAAAGAGCTCGCTGCTGGTTGTCCAAATGCCGACACTCTCGCATGTGATATTGTGCAAGTAAGTATCATGCATGCTTGGTCATCAACACTCATCTTTACAACTCGCACATTAGGCATATCTACATGTTCAACCCAGAATCAAAGCCTTGGATGGCGCACGCTACGACGAAGCTACTGACTATATCACTGCCGCTCTCGACTCTCGCAATTCATCATCGAAATCGAACATTCATGAAATCTATGAGGATTTGGTGGTGGTACGTCAAGATGATGCATGTATAACGCTTTTCACAACTGGATATCTTGTCTAGCTCTTTGGCTGGGACCTGAAGTTGTTGTGGCGAAAGGCACCCCATAAACGGTGTGATGCACTCCTTCGGGCGGGTAAACTTCAAGATGCCGTGAAATTATACCAACACATGATGACTTCGAGTGACGAAATCACCAAAGGCGACTGGCTTGATTGGTCCAATGGCGAGTCTAGAACCCCTAATATTGCGCAAGAGACAATCCTCACCTGTATTCCTCTCAGATTTCAAACAGCAATGCAGCGCACTCTGCGCTGCCAATGGAGAGGCTGCCTTCGCTGCAAGCGATTACGACAAGGCTATTGACATATATTCAATGGCGATCGACCTGGATTCTGCATCCGATATCTTCTTTGCAAGTCGCAGCCAGGCAAAGTTAAGTAAAATGCTGTAGGAGGATGCGCTCCTCGACGCGCGAAAGGTGCGATGGCATCCACATTCTAGTAGCCCATGTTGACTTTGGCGATGCATAGGTCACCGAACTCAATCCTTCGTCTCATGTCGGGTACCAGTTGTCACACTCAGCGCTGCGTGGCGCGCAACGATACGAAGAAGCCATCGAGGCCTTCACAATCATGTGGTCCAAGTTGGACGACGCTCCAGAAGTGCAGATACGAGGTAAGCCATGGAACATTACTACCTCGTCTCGAAATGCCTATCTTGTTCTGCAGATCTGCGTCGGCAGTACGTCCGTCCATCGGAAGCAGAAGACGCTATTCGAGGAGCGGTTTGGATTGAACTCAGCAACGCCCCCCTTCGTCTGCTCAACACCTCTACGGGTCTTTTGTGTGACCGAGCAGCACAGCTGAACTTCTTCAAAACAAGTCCAGAATACAAGGAGCTTTTGTCATCCATAGCGAAGCGTTCGGATCTCGAAATGGAACGCATCAAGGGGGTGGTGGCGACGCACTTCCGTTGTGTTTTGCTATCACATAGGTGGGAAGAGACGGAGGCGCTGCTGCACCACATCCAGGACAAAGTGGTGTACGAGCTGGATGGACTCGGTGGCACCGCGAAACTGCAGTCGTTTTGCAAAGTCGCTCGTGATGCGGGGTATTTTTGGGCATGGATGGATACATGCTGCATTGATAAGAGCAATAACGTCGAGCTTCAAGAATCGGTCAATTCCATGTTCGTCTGGTACCGCCACTCAGCGCTCACCATAGTCTACCTATCCGATGTTCCTCCTTCATCCAAGCCCGGTGCACTGGCGAGTAGTGTTTGGAACAAATGAGGATGGACATTTCAAGAATTCGTCGCTCCGAAAGTCGTTATATTTTATCAGAAGGATTGGTCGTTGTATCTGGACGATCGCTCTCCCAACCACAA